CGTGTGCACCACAGCTAGGAGCTGTTCGTGAGTAGAAGGCGGAGCTCACCTCCCGGGCGCCGGAGTCCTGCCAGCCGCGCTGCGTGGCCAGCACCTGCTGCGTCACCTCGCGGTACAGCGCGCTGTCCTTGGGCACGGCGATGGTGCTGTTGCAGTTGCGGTCGGGCAGCCACGTCACCTCGTAGAAGGCGCCAGGCGCCGTCTGGTGCTCCAGCACCCACGATACCGCCATCGATATCACCTGCGTGCGTCTTCAGTGTACATTCTGTCGCTTGCTACAAGCTATAACATCGCTCTCCCGACAACTGTCGTGATCGGAGTTAAGGTTGGTTTAAATATCTCAAGTCCTGATCAATTTGTAATATCTGTTAGGTTAGCTCAGAAGGCGGTCAAGTTGAAATGGGACCGGGCTGGTCACGCCTGCGGCATACCGGGCGGGTAGTAGACGCGATAGACCAGCTCTTTAACATACTCCTTTTTAAAGGACTGGCCAGATGTTGCCCAAACCGGAATCAATGGAAATAGAGGGAGGAGGTCTTTGCCCGGCAGTAGCACAGAACAGCCAGCTGTAGCTCGTGTCAAACTCGTTCTACCAATGAGTTTTATCCACATACATTTATTTCTTTTTTTATATTAAGTTGGCAGCAAACAAGCATATGGCCCGCCTGCAACACCAGAGGCGTCACGAGCGCGAAAATGTTGCTGTTGACATAGTACTTCAGAAAATTGGCCATTGTACAGGCGATAGAACAGACATAGGAAGGCAAAGTCTCATGGACGACGTGGACCAAATTTGGTCTATTATTAATATTATTTAAGTTTAATTTTATTTCTTGTTTAAACTTAGGCAAAATTCGTTTTATAAATACAAAAAACTGCTTCGCTCGCCATCTTTGCTTAGTCGAAGGTCAAAGTTCGGTTATGTCAATTGAGTTACCTCATGTTAAAATGTCAGGGTGTAAAATAACAATTAGTGAGGAGACAGACGACATGTAAGTGAACTAAACTCTATAAAGCCGTAAATATAAGTTATTTACAACATTATCAGTTACTATTTCAAATATCGATAGATAAACTTCTCTAGATATTGATTTTAATCTTCCGAGTTCTTTATGGCAATGAAACTTACATCTGGGTCGATATAGATAAAGTTCTCCCACTCGTTGAACGACGCATCTTGGAATATTTTGGCGCAAAATGACGTCAGCCACACACTCGACGATGATTGGTTCCTGAAAAGGAGATAGAAAATTGAAACTGAGTGTTTTGAAGATTTTTGGTTTTACGTTAACGTGATAATTAAGACCAAAGAATACCACATTTGACAATGTGGTATAGTTTTAACCAACCAATGCGAACGAAGAAATGTTTAATACAATGCATCCCTTTATTAGAGAATGAATTGTACAGTGTAGAGGAATTTTTTATCTATTTTATACAATTTTGTATTTTTTTTATTAATATAATGAAATATAAATGAAATTCAAAAAAATATTGTTATATATAGTGATGAAATGGGTAAAAATATAGGTTTGTAACTTAGCCACCTAGGAATAAAATTATCAAATATATGCATGCCAGGTGCAACATACTGTAAAATATTATATAGTATTTTGTCAACTAAATTTGACCAAGACACTACATTAATCATTTTAATTGGCAGAAGAGGAAAATGTAACAAAAAAGATTCAATACAATATTTTTCACAATTAAATAATTTAATTAATATAAAAGAAATTATTTTGTTAGCTTTTCCCTTCAGCAATAGCCTCACAACAAGTGAAAATAATTTGAGACATAACTTAAATAGAACATTACACAGCTTGACATTTCATTATAGTAAAATTCATTTTATGGACACTAATAATTTTACTAGTAAATATCTTAATTTGACTAAAGATAAGTATTCTCTTACTAGTTATTTTAGGAGACAGATAGCAGAGTTGCTATCATATTATATTAATAATTCAGCCAAATCGTTTTCGTACCAGACCGGCTGCTTCTATTGAGCAGTCCATTGACATAGGTCAGTTTACTGACAATAATCAATCTGTTTAAAATAATTCTAATTCCAATTATTTAAATTAATTAATAAGACAACGGAGAGATACTCTTGCAACACAGTGACAGTAAACAACCAACCTAAAACACACAGAAATAAAATAAATTGTATATTAAACCTGGCGCACCAAAATGTTCAAGGCATGAAAGGCAGAGTTAGAAATAGAATTATTTATTAATTGTAATAATGTTGATATTCTTTGTATTACTGAGCACCACTTTTTACCTAAACATCAGTTCATGTTAAGCTTCAACAATCACCAGGTGGCTAGTTTGTTCAGAAGAGAAAAAGCTATTCATGGAGGCTCTAAAATTCTTTTTAAAAATAATTTAAAATTCAAAGTACAGATATTGTGAGCCTATGTATTGAGCGGACTATAGAGATATCCCGCATAGAGCTTGAATGGCTTGTTGTATTAAGCGTGTACAGTACCCCCTCATTCATCTTACGAACTATTTAAAAAAGATTAGAAGAAGTTTTAGGCAAATTACTTAATCCAAATAAATATATTGCTGTTTGTGGTGACTTCAAGGTTAACTTATTAGAAGATTCCAGTGCTAGCAGTAGGCTCATATCATTTTTCCAATGTTATAATCTTGTGAAACTTTTCTTGGTGCCTACTAGAATAACTTCTACTACAGCCACTTGTTTAGACAATATTTATACTAATGCCGTACTTAGTAATAAATCTATTATAAATAAATTAACTTCTGATCACTGCGGCCAATTGGCCACTTTTAACATAACTGTTGACAAAATGCCAAAAAAGGATATCACATGTGTTCCCATAAATAATGGTCGACTTAAAGCTTATAGAAATAACGTAACGCTTAAACTAACTGACATTCCGTACGTTAACGATCTCAATAAATTGTATAATTCAGTTTTCAACATAGTGAAAAGTGAACGTGATAATATTTTTAAGTCCAAAATCATAACCATTAATAATTCATTGAAATTTAGTGATTGGGCGACTGTGGGAATTCACAAAAGTAGACAAAGGCTATATGACCTTTACGATGAAAGGACCTATAACACTAGTAACAGCTTTAATGATTTTGTTAGGAAATATTCGAAAATGTTTAAACGTGTTTGTGCTGCAGCCAAAGCAATGTTTTTAAATAATGAAATTAAAAGCAGCGCGAATGTAGAAAAACGACTTGGAATATTATAAACAGCGAAACGGGAAGGCTCAACCTCGTAACTTAGATTTTCAACTAAGATTTAATGACAAAATTGTAAACACAGACGCAGAATTGCTAAAATATTTGAATTTTTTTTTGCTGACAATCTAATTTTGACTACTAAGTCGTTAAATTCATCTCCCACCGTCGCTGAATCCTTACTAAAAGAAAATAATGCAGTTAGTATCACTAATTTAAGGTTCCGTCATGTATTTCTAAAACGACATTGTTGAAGCCTTTAAGTTTATAAACTTAAAAAATACTACTGATCTTGATGGTCTTTCAGTCAGAGTAATTAGTTTTATAGCTGATTATATTGCGCTTTACTTAGCCTGTGTCTTTAATAAATGTGTTGATGATAGTGTCTTTCCTGACGTTGTGAAGCAAAGTAAAGTTATTCCACTTTTCCAATCTGGTAGTATTTCAGACCCCACCAATTTCAGACCTATATCAATACTACCAACTCTCAGTAAAATATTTGAAAAAATTATTCTAAGTCAGATGTGTGCACATTTTTATAGTAATAACTTAATGTCTCCTAAACAATTTGGTTTCACTCGGGGTCGCTCTACAACCGACGCTGGTGTCGAGTTGATTAATCATATATTTGATGCATGGGAAGTCTCACATGATGCTATTGGTGTATTCTGTGACCTTTCCAAGGCTTTTGATTGTGTGCACCATGATACACTGGTCAGGAAACTTCGCCATTATGGTGTGGCGGGACGTGACCTCGACCTTCTTAAATCGTATTTGCGTGGTGGGGTATAGAGATCATCAAGGTCTGCAATTAGCATGGGTGTCCCTCAAGGTTCAATTCTAGGCCCATTTGTTTTTAGTTTATATAAATGACTTACCTAGTCTCATGTGAGGGTATAAAACATGAGATAGTATTGTTTGCTGATGATACTTCCTTATTATTTAAAGTTAAAAGGCACCAATGTTCCTACGACGATGTGAACAATTCTATATCTACAGTAGTTGAACCTACTCCTTAACGAGAAAAAAACAAATTGTGTGAAATTTACATTACACAATGTCAGAGAGACGGTTACAAACATTGTAGTTAAACGAAAAATTGAATCTTGTCTTTCTAGGTATAACGTTAGATGCTAAGTTGCAATGCGGTCCCCATATAAGTAAGTTATCAAAACGGCTCGGCTCTGCAGTGTACGCGATTAAAAAAATACGGAAACCGTCAGACGTCGAGACCGCTAGATTGGTTTTATTCAGCTACTTTCACAGTCTAATGACATACGGCATTTTGCTTCGGGGTAATGCCGCCGATATCAATAGAATCTTTGTCCTGCAGAAACGTGCAGTTAGGGCAATTTACAATCTGGGCCCCAGAGCATCGTCGGTTTATTACGAAGGGTAGGAATTATCTCTTGATATTTTTGTAAAATCATAACACTGATGTTTTCAAATGGCAAAATCCAGCCTGATCTACCCTCTAAACCTAGTCTCACGTGAGGGTATAAAACATGAGATAGTATTGTTTGCTGATGATACTTCCTTATTATTTAAAGTTAAAAGGCACCAATGTTCCTACGACGATGTGAACAATTCTATATCTACAGTAGTTCTTCTACCTTGGTTCTTCAGTAGGAAATCGATTCCGAAAAATATTACCTCCGCAATTATTCGCCTTCGCTTAGCTCATATATGTACTCCATTCTTCGCCAAGATCCGTGTTTGAGTGTGGTTTGGCAGAAGGTTCCCTCGAGCACCTGTTTTTTGACTGTAATCGTATAGTCACTCCTCTGTACGATATCCTCCCTCCTAAAATCCCCCGTCCCGTTAATATCAACTTCCTCCTAATTTTAGTCCATTCTCCCGTTGTACATGTGCTGTGTAAATTTATATTTAAAAAAATTTCTGTAATAGTCTGTGTAGGTTCTATGTCGTTGTAGATTTGTCGATTCTCCTCTCAGTGAATTCTGTCGAAATTCACCAGTAAATTTTTAAGTTAAAACGCGTGCGTTCCTCAACTCGAAATTAGCGAAATCCTCGATTACTTCGATGGGACCATAACATTTAAAAGATGTTTAAAAAAAATGTTTATATTCTTTGATAAGTGTCTTTGTTTGTAAATGTAACTAAACTTTTGCATGTGTTATATGGGTTATTGTGAAAAGTCAAAAAGTCCAAAGAATAGAGAACGAAGTTCCGATGTACTTCTTTTCAACTCACCAGTCGCTCCGGAAGAGGCTGAAAGATCCGTCAGGCTTCATGAAGGAGAGCTGCCTTTGGTAGAGGATGTTCATGTGGTAGAAGGCGTCGTGCTCCAAGGTGCGGTTGCGCTGGTTGATCAGGCGCATGTACAGCGTCAGGTACATGTTGGCAGCGAAGCTGAACATGTTCTGCTCCGCTGAGTCCTACAGACATTTGTTATGTTACTTGACCGAATGTCTTTGAAAATTTCAATCTTTTTGGTTTCTTTTGCCTTGCCCGTTTTAATTCAAGATTACGTTTTATTTGTTAAGTAGATATCGCATATTGAATAATATAGTCATGTGTGAGTGGTGAAATTACAGGCACATGGGACTTGTCAACTGCAGTGGCAGTGCCCCTAAGATCTTTGCGTTTTAAAACTCTGAGTGGCATTGCAACTGTTATGGACAGGCGTGGCGCATACCACCCGGCGCACGACTTGTTAGTCCTGTCACTTGGTATTATAAAAAATAACAATAATAATAATAAAGTGACGTCATTAAAGTAACATTTATGGGAATTTGACACGGGTCAGCAAGGGCAGCTCCTTAACAGTCATAGACTACAGGGAAATAATAGTGTAAGACGGTACTACAATGAATTTTGAAGATATTTCGTTAGGCATTCAAAGGTTTTGAAAAAGTGGTACAATTAGTAAGATAAAATACAATTTTCACGAAACTTGTTTTCGTACCATTCGATCCTGTTTCTCGCAAGGAGCTGTCCTTGCTAACCGGTTTTCACTTTCCATCTTGTATATTAAAAAAAAAAACACAATTTTTCCATGTCCAGAATACGTAAATATAACATTTTTTATATGAAAAGGAAGGTTATCAAACACTATTTTCCCGCGTTATTAAAAAAATAATAATTTTCAATATCCCAAAAACTTTCACTACATTATTGATAATGCGATGTGTTAGTAAATAAAGATGACGTCAATACTAACCATAGGCAAATCAAGAAGACTAGTAGCATTTACCGGCATGGTAGGGAACAGAGGCCCTACCACGTCACCCACAATCGAGACCCGAGCCTTATTGGACCCGTATACGTAATAGCGGTCGCCTTTGTACGAGATGATGGGAGTCTCGGTTATGTTAACGTGCATGTATTGGAACACGTAGGCGCGGTTGGATAAGTCCAGGAGGACAGATTGGTGTCTGTGTTGCGGTAGTCCGTCAGCCTGTGGAAAAATGAACATAATAATTGTGGTGTATCCGAATCGTATTATATGTTGTACCGCTCGCACACTCACTTTCTCTCTCTCCCTCTCGCCCCTCTCCCTCCCTCGTATGGTATTGTAAGTACAGTAACGTGTTTGCCGAAATAAATCCCGCATTAATATAATTGAGCAGTGTTTAATTAATTACCAAGGCACAACAATAATGTTATTATTACTTTATACTCTGTCCAATTTAACTTTTTAAATATGCATGCCTCCGAAGTTCCTAAATTATTGACATACTACCACAGACAAAAAAATGCAATACTTCCTGAACTCTTTTTTTTTATTTCAGTGAAACGACGTGCTCTTAGCTCCAATATTTATCGAGTCTACCGATTATGTAACGAGGATTATTCAAGTTGATAAATTTTGGAATTATAATGAAATTAAATAAATTATAAATAATTATTATAAAATCTTATTGTTTTATAATGAATCATCGGATTCTTCTCCATATGAACGGGAATCGTCTTGACTTGAATCCTAAGTAACATTAATTATTAATTCTTGAGTACACAAATTGATTAACGCTTCATCACGATCCCAATCAAACAATTATTTATTTTTACCTTTAACAGACATTAACTCTCTGTATTCTCCACGCCGTAATTACAAATCATGAGGTTAATAAAGGCCCGTTCATTTTCGCAACAAAGTTATTGAAGTCGTAAAACAAAAATGTAAACATTGTTTAAGTTTCTTCTCTTTGGTCATCTCGGACTGAGAAGTCCAAATGTCAAGTGGACGTGGTCAAGTGACAGATACAGTGGAAATTTATTTATTTCCTTCCAAAAGCTTACAAATGCATTTTCAGTTTGTACAAATATAAATATGAACAAGACTATAGTGGAAGATAGGTTTCCGAGCTATCACAGAAGAACCAAGGACGTGGTACGCTTACCTCAACAGAGATCTTCTTGGTGTAATGGTGCTGCCCCTGCAGAGTGGACGCGTGCACGTGCACGTGGATATCCCCGAGTCTCGTGGGCACGACAGGAATGTAGACGGTAGCAGCGTCGCCCGCCAGGATGTACACGAAGAACTGGTGCTCGCCGAACGACGTACGCGGGTTGTACGACACCACCTAGAGTCGCAATACAGATCAAATAGTATGAAGAAAGAACGAAAGAAAGAAAGAAAAATAATTTATTTGGTAACAAAGTAGAAAATTACAAAATGGCAAAATAAAACACTAAGTAAATTATAGAAAGGACTTAACGTAAAACAGACACAATTACATAATTATAACATGTTACCAAAATGGTCACCACTCAGCTTTGGAGGACGTTGGAGGACGCCTCATTACGCTGGTTTTCAGTGGAGCCATAAATGGAGAAAAAGAAAGATAGCGCCTCGTCCATGTAAAAGGTAAAATTAAAAAATAAAGTTCAAAAAATTTAAAATGAAATAAAATTTAAAAAATTAAAAGCCATAAACCAATCCCAATACAAATATAACATAAAAATAATACAAAACTAAAAACGTGTAATCACGTGTAGTGTAAGCGAGGTGATTAGGCGTGTATTGAATTTTTTTTAAATGTTTCCTTGTACTTAAGTTTGGAGTGTTGGTACGTTATGCAAATTGGCTCTCATCAATTTCATATTTGAATAGTAGATAGTTCGACCATGTGCGTGAAACGAGCAGTTGGCACAATTTCTTTTCATTGTTTGATTAATAATCAAATACTTACTTTAATAAATACTACTATTTTACCAGCAGTAGACCTCCCTGTGAAGAGTTTGTCCAGGCAAGTACTACCACCTTACCTATTTCTGCCGCCGTGCAGTAATGTGAGCATTACTGAGTTCCGGTTTTGAATTCCAGGCACATGGAACTAGTCAAGTTTTGTCTCAGGGTGACAGGCGCAGTGGCAGTGCATTAATGATAGTCGATCGAAATTGTGACGATAACTTACGATGCCATTCTCCTCTACGTGCACGAACTTGTAGTCTGGAGAGGCGTGAAGAACCACAACGGCCTCGATGGCCTGCGGCTGGTAGTTGAATACGACCACACGCAGTCCCACCTGCTCACCTTGTCGGCAGCGGTCCGGGCCCTCTACTTGGATGAAGAAGGGCAGGATACCCACGTACTACGCACAACACAGAGCAAATAGATCGACGTTGACATTTATAATAATAGCTACGAATGCAAAGGCAGGAACGAAATGATAAACTCGACCCCTCCTACGTAAAGTATCGTATGTCGAAATTGCCAAGTTTACAGGGGAGCGTTTTAAAGTTCTGAATTCACTGAAAGAGTGATCACCATAGATCATCTAACCGATATCTAGGATTTTATAATACTCTATGTGAGTAATGAGCTTTGCCGAATAAAACTGAGAAATGCTAAAATCACGTGTTATGTTCGTTTCAGTGAATTCAGAACTTTAAAACGCTTCCCTGGAAACTTGGCAATTTCGACATACGATACTTTACGTCGGAGGGGTCGAACTGTAAGTGATGGATAATAAAGGCGAGCACTGACGTGGATGGGCTCGGTGAGCATGCCCAGCCCCAGCGTGGGCGACATGGAGAAGGCGGACACGGTCCAGTGCGCGGGCGCGCGCGGCACGTCCAGCGAGAAGACGTAGCGGCCGTGCGGGCCCACGTTCACGTCGCGCCACAGCCACGCGTTCTCGTACTGGCGCAGCACGCGGTTGAAGCGGAACTTGCGGAAGTGCGCCAGCTCGAAGTTGCTGCGCTGCTCGTGCTCGCCTAGACATCCGTCGGTGGACGGTTTTAGTTCAAAATATGCAACCTGCAGGGTTCGCACGACAGCGAATAAAACGTGTACTCGTCTACTTTCCTTTTACATATAAAAAAGGAAGTAGACCGATCTGGAAAGTAGACGAAATGGGAAATAGACCAATCGAGAAAAACAAGTGGACCGAAGGACTTAGGTTGATATGAATGTAATTTTAGTAGCGTTAGTTTCCTTTGAATTAAATATATCATAGTGGAACTTACAGTTAGATTCGTCGGTGTAGTCGGCGCAGTCGGGGACGCCGTCGCACCGTTTACTGAGCGGGTAGCAACCGCTCTCGAGGCACTCCCCGAAGCCCAAAGTGGCGTTGCAGTTGCTGTACCGTCGAGGGAGCGCCACATCGCTGAACACCACCAGACCCACGAACCTGACGAGATATTCAATTTTATGTAAACAAAACACAAGGCGTGTTTAATAAACGTGTCTTGCTTGGCTAACTTGACTATACAAATAAAACCCATTCAATTGAGAAGCAAGCCTTCTCCCACCCCACACCTCTTTGGACAACGTTCATACATACACAGTTTAGGAGGCAAGACAATCTTGCTATTGTATAACTTCGACTTATAAAAAAATATTGTAACCAATTTGTTAGTTATCATTTATAAATAAACATTATTATTATTATCGACGTATCAACTATGGGTATACTAATAAAATTTTTTTTATAAAAAAAGTCACTCAAAACTTAGGTTCAATTAACATTGCTGCAGAACGTAACGGAAGCCAATTTTTGTAACGAAATTGTATATAGAATAATGAACTTTATCTCAATTGTGTAACGTATAAACTAGAGACAACATGGCGACTGCGGGAATTTCCGAAACTGTTTGGAAATTCACCAGAAGACGCGTGACCTTTTTTTTGGCTCGTATCGTTTTTTTATAATACCAAGTGACGGGACGAAGTCGTGCGCCCGATGGTAAGCGACACGCCTGTCCATAACAGCTGTAGTGCCAGTCAGAGCTTTAAATCGCAAATATTTGAGGGGCACTGCCACTGCGCTCATCGTCCTTAGATATAACTTGACAAGTCCTTCAACACTGGAACACAGTAATGTTGACATTACTGCTTGGCGGCAGAAATAGGTAAGGTGGCAGTATTACCCTGGGTAAACTCTTATACAAGGAGCTCTACTGCTCGTAAATGGTACTCACTCGAAGGTCCGGTTTGCGTCGATGCCGAACGTGGAGGAAGGGAAGTAGACGAGGTCGTCGGCGTCGCCGAAGTGCGAGCGCCACGTATACGCGAACGTGCCGTTTGTGGATTCGTCGAAGTGCGCCATCTTAGATATCACCTGCGAAGAAATTGTTGGCAGAGGTTCATTCTCTTGAGCCTTCAGAAATAAATACTAAAGTCGGTTTGTGACCATTAATGTAGAAGTTCCCCAGTATGTCATTTTTAGTCTAGAAGGACCTGTACCTCAGTTAAATATTTACATTTTACTCTTGCGCTAGTTCCTCAGTTGTAAATTTGGATATTCCTTGTACAATGGCATGTATAGGGTTTATCTATAAAATGTGATTGTACTAATGATAACAAACTTTAGAAATAACATTGTGTTCGCCTATTTAATGTATATTTATTGAGTAATTTATATGGAAGAAATAATACACTAAATATGTTTAATATGGACATTTAAAACAATACTTCTTATACTTTTAATTCCTCTATCATTTATTATTCATACAAAGATCGAACAAATACAAAGAAAAATTCCTACGATCCGGCTGGAATAGAACCAGTGTCTGTTGTCTCAATGTGGCTACTATCATTAACAAGGGCCGCGCCGTGTGTTTGTAGTAATTTGCGTTGTTGTTTCCCTTTGCGATAACTGAGCTTAATCTTTGGCGGAAGTAGCTGGCAGCCTGTCAGCGAAGACTTCTACGAGAACCGAAATCTCTTTAATGAAGAGTATCATAGAATCTCATTGATCACGTGCGTTTTAAGTTTACGTACGTTTCAAGAAAAATCCTAAACTAGTTTGTTATCATGATTGAAGAGAACCAGCTGGAATATAGTCGCGTGTTACGACACCTTTGATAAAGTGAAGTGTTTGTTACCTTAGCGTATGTGAGCTCGTTTCCGGCCTGCATGGTGTAAAAGGCGTCGTCGAGCCCCGAAAGGCCGACGTAGGCGCCGGGCTCGCCGAAGATGGCCACCTCCACGCGTTCACCCGTGCGGTGCTTGCGGTTGTTTATGTACACCGTGAACTGTCAAAGATAACTCACATTGAACTATATTTCTCTTATATGTTTTGTTTACACATCTAGATGCGGTTAACGTAAGGGACAAGTTCACAAAACCGAAGTGTCCATCAGTGGGTTGCGTCTTGCGTACCACACGAGTCACGTAGACCATTGAGTTATTAGAAAAATAATAAGAATTAAGTTTTTGACTGTTAAGACAGTTTTTAACCAGGTCGTTCAACATCGTGGCAATAGATGGCGTTGCAAAATATTTTATGAGTTTGTGTATGAGTTAGTCATTTGGACGTAGTGAACAAAATAGAAGAAAAAATTGTTTCCTCAAATACACCAAGACAAAATATATAATGCTCTCACATTGTTCCTAGAGATGCCGTTGACAGGGAAGGTGAGCGAATCTGCGAGAACAGCACCGTGTCGCTCTGCCGACCACGCTACTATCGTGGCCACTGGTGCCATCTCAGCTGACACGGTCACCGCAAAAGTACGCACTCCGTCCTGGATATCATACAAACAAATGAGATTTTTTTAAACTCTTAACAATAGATAACAGAAAGTCGTTGGGTTTGCCGCTAACGAATGGGACATCGTCAAGTATCGCCTAAAAATGATCAACAATATGCCAATAGATGGCGTTTTGGAATGCAAGTCGGTCAATTCGTTGATTGAGCACTTTCTATTAAGCGTAGGGAGAACAATAATTCGATACATAAAACTCCCTCAACCCCGAAAACGTTTTTCAATCATGTCGTCGAGGCAGTGTACAGATTTACCAACAAACCTACATTGATTTTTTTGTTCACAACTATACTTACGGTCATAATTTCCTGCGCGCTGGTAAGGATGATGCCCTTAGACATGACGAGGTAGTTGAATGTCTCCATGTAGAAGTTGCTCTGCACGTGGAATACTATGTATTCGCCCACCTAGCGACAAGAATATCTGTTAGATTTTTCTTGATTCTTTGATACTAAACATATAAACGAGGAAATAGTTGCGCGTAATAGTTGCATTACGAGGAAATAGTTAAAATCTAGATGGGCCTAAATAAAATTGTGAACGTTTATTTATCATAATATTTTGTATATTATAAAGGTACCACGGGTGGTCACGGCATCTGTTCAAAGGAGGTTGGAAACCATAGTCCACATTACAGTGACACAACTAGAATAATAACTTTTTAGGAAACTGATAAAATCGATTTAAATAAAATAACATACAGTGCCGAATGCACGTCACTGTGTGTACTTTCATGCTCGTTTCTATAGTGGAATCCAATAAGAAGACTTCTGAATGTTACACAAAACGATTTAGTTATATTTCTTCATGTACGCGAAGAGTACACTATAATGAGGTGCCTAGTTCGGACTATCTTAGTAATTTAATCGAGTAGCGAGTGCAACTAACTTTTAGTCGAGTACTTTAATAAGTAATATAGTCGAGCAGATCCATTTTTTTTAACTGAACAAATGCAAACCTGTCGATTTTTGTTGAGTTCATTAACTGTCGCAATGTTCAGTCACTCTCAAAGTTCCAAAGTACTCTTTAAGATTTTCTAATGTCATTTCCTCGAGAAGAGAATTAGTAGCTCTTTGTTCATCATGTCTCTGAATTCACTTTCACAACTTCTAAAGTAGCCATTGCAAAAAGCTTTACTAGCTTATTTATTTTTTTGCATTGTCTGTTCATCTCGCAATACACTGCTCGCTAATGTACAGCACAGGACTGTAGTGCGAACGCTTTTTGGTGAGCTGGTAGACTTTAAGTTACTAAATTACTTTCTACTCCACTAAACGACTAAGATAGCCCGAGCTAGGCTTTAGAGGACATATTTCACGAAAATTCACACAAATATCCCCCGATATATCGTTTCTAAGATAAATTTCCCTCGAGCGAGTGGCGGAAGCAGCTGGCACCGACCCGGGCGTCTGTGGTGCTGGTGCGGATGCGGATGTGCTTGTGGCCGGGCGAGTGGTGCGCCACGAAGCGCAGCTCGGCGCCGGCGTGGCCGCCCACGGCGTCGGCCAGCTGCGCGCTCAGCCGCACGCCCGTCACGCCGCTTAGCACCTCGCGGTAGTTCGGCTCGTTCTGCAGCCCTGCGGGACCGCAACCCGCGTTACACGGATGACTTTTTGCTCACCGTACAAATTATGATCTTCGGTAACACGAGTTTTTTCTTTGAGTCATAGAAAAATTTCCATTTTAAAAGAATCATATTTTACCTATTTCACATTTGACTTACCAAAAGTTGAAGTTACTGAACGAAAACGATGGAGACTTATAAAAGTTTTTTTTCGCTGTTGTTCAATCATTTTAAATATCGTTTTTGTCATATTTGCCTTTAGCTAACTTTGCCTTTAACTTTAGAAATTTTATAATTCACGCTACATAAAACTTCAAAAGATATTTCTAAACGAAGAACATAATATGAACCTTCGAATAATTTTTCCAATTTTTTCCGAAAAATTTTCACTAAGTATCTGAAATTTTTCGAAAAATTACCCAACAGCACATAGTAATAAAATATTAAGATGTGACGTCACAAGACATGCAGGACATAGTCTACATTTGCAGGCAGCTTAGCGTCCCGCACCGCGCACTATCCGTGCTCGCGCCTGCGTTTCATTGTAAAACTTGTACAGGGTGAGAACCGTCAAATGATTGTGTCGTTCTCTTAGAATCTAGTACAATATTAACCGAAAAGTAATTTGTAATATTATGTGGGCGTATGACAATTACCGGGAAATTTTGTTTCACACCAATTCACTAATGAAAGTTAAATAAGATTGAATTAATTGCAGTTAGTGAAAACGGGGACGACACAAATGACAGTGTGAAATTAGCTGAACACAAAGAAAAACAAGACACATTATCAACGTTCTTCACTAATTACCATAACAGAATATATTTTTGTTATAACTAAGAGCAAATTTATATATGAATGTAACTCATGGTAATAAAAGTTAAAATGTAAAGTGCTATACCCAATAGGCTTTTGTTAACTCTTTATTTATTTAGGGGCTTTGATCATTATTGAACATGTCGGCCCCATTATAAAAACGGTAGAAAAGAAAACACTTAATAAAATCCAGATAGGATATATCAAAATAATGTTGGCTTCAATAAAACGGATTGAAATCACCCAAAAATACGTAGCACTGAAAAACTGCTTAATGCCAGTTAAGCAGACGTGTAAGCCAGATCCCCACGGGCAAGTTCTCTTATTGGCAAGACTCACTGAGCAGCTTGTAGAGGTCGAGCTTGAGGTGCCAGACGGCGTCGTGGCCCGGCACGAGCGTGGGGTACTGCGCGTCGACGGCGCCGCCGCGGCCCTCCACCTGCAGCTGCACCACCAGCGACACGCCGGCCGCCTGCCAGCGCGGCAGCGGCGCGCCGTCGTGGTACGACACCACCATCTGCGTACCCGCACTGTCTGGTTAACCAGCACTACCCATCTACTATTCGTGGGTATATCAAGTGACGGGACGAACAAGTCGTGCGCCTCCAGGTAAGCTACACGCCTGTCTATAACAATTGCAGTGGCACTCGGAGCTTTAAGTCTCAAAGATCTACGAGGCACTGCCACTACGCCCGTCACCCTGGGACATAAGTTTATAAATCCCATATGCCTGTAATTTCACTAGCACCCTTGCCCTTCAAAACCGGAACGCAGTAATGCAGATATTATTGAACAGAAATAGGTAAAATGGCAGTACTTCCCTGGACGAACACTTTCACAAGGAGCTCGTCTGCTAGTGAAAAACAACATCTGAACATCATGCTAGATTCAGAGGTATGGAAACCGTCCTTGCCTCCGTCAAAAATATACAGGAAACGAGTAAAAAATATAAATAATAAAAAAAATAAGTTAAAGAAAAGATACTAGCTCAGTCTGGGTTATATTGCAGTTAAAACCACAATTACATTTTTTGTAAACAAGAAGGTCCTAGGTTCGATACTGGTACGACTAATTCATGAAACGATTTTTCCTAAATTGGTTCTTGTCTGGGTGTTCTTGGAGGCTTGGAGTTAGTTTCGCACTCCAGTATTCATAATAAAGTAAATTCCTTAATTTGAGAGTAGATAATTGGTTTAATTATCGAGGTACGTTTAAGTAAGGGCCGGGTCAGTGTAGACCCGAGACAATGTAGAAAAGTATACTCGGTGTCTGGGTGTTTGTGGTACCGTCGTTGTTTCCCATTTCCATAACACAAGTCCTTTAACTACTTACTTTGAGATCACTCTCACACTCAACGTAACGCACACACTCAACATAGCCCCGCACTAGGGAAACCCTGTGTCGCGGGTGCCATGGACACACACATAGACAACCACAACTTACACCCAAACTCACGAGAGAAATAACTGTAGGCCATACAACTATTTCTCCCGGCCCGGGAATCGAACCTGGGACCTCTGCGTGGCAGTCCGGCATGGTAACCGTTCGGCCACGGAGGCAGATCAGAGCAACGTATGTGATGTTATCTAATATTTATTTAAAATAAAACTTGTACTTACATAGACATCAAAAGGCATAGCGGGTTTAAAAACCTGCGGCGAACCCCCCAAGAACTTAACAGCTAATGACGAATTAAATATCCTCGCGATGCTGTACCCCTCGATGATCTCGTCGAGGAAAGGGTCCCCCACGGAAGCCGTGATGATCACCTCCACCCCGTCCAAGTCGGGAACCAGTTGCGCTAGCTCAGACATCGGGTACTTGAAGTCGTACGTGCCGTTGAACTGGACAAAGTAACATGTTGGTGAAGATAAATAAATAAAATATTTTGAAGTAACGGTAGTTAAATTCATTGATTATAATTATTAATACAAAGATCACTTAGAAAAACTTCCTTCATATCGAGTTCTTAGGTTTTCGCGATTGTTACACATAGGAAATGAAACTATTTTTCCGGATTTAAATCGCGTATATTTGTTTTTTCAAACAAACCGACGTTTCGGGCCCTTTACAGGTCCCATGGTCACGATTGACTCAACCGTGACCATTTCCTAAAACTTCCTTCAATTCGGCTGGATACGAACCAACATCTTCCAGCAAATCGTGCCAGACGCTATCCCAACTAAGCCACGGAACAAACTTGCGGACCTTACGAATTTTTCCATATTGCAGATATTTGTTTGTGGTTTTTAACGACTTTTTTTTACCGTTGATTATTATGGTATGATTTTTACCGCCATCTGTGAGAAATCTATTTCTTTACTCAGCTGAGTGATTCGTAAATTTGAAATTAGTAAGGTCCGCTAGTTCGTTCTATCCAGCTAGGACCCCGATTCAGAATTCTTCAATATTTTAACCGAATTGGATATCGTTCTCGAATCGAAAAGCGCTTTCCGAGTTATTCAGAACACATTCCGAGTTAAACGTTCAATTCGTATACGATATCGTTATTCAACAGCGTTTACAGAGTCAGTTGCTGAAATAGATTATAAGAAAAATGAAAATCCTTTTATATACATCGATCCCTCCGACGTAAAGTATCGTATGTCGAAATTGCCAAGTTTACAGAGGAGCCTTTTAAATATTCTGAATTCACTGAAATAAGCACGACACGTGACTTTAGCATTTCTCAGTTTTATTCGACAAAGCTCGCTACTCACATAGAGTATTATAAAATCCTAGATATCGGTTAGAGGATGTGTTAGATGATCACTCTATTTGAGTAACGCTTTGCCGAATAAAACGGACAACTTTAAAACGCTTCCCTGTAAACTTGGCAATTTCGACATACGATACTTTACGTAGGAGGGGTCGACATTTTTAAGACTTTAAAGGCCTAAAGTATAGGTATGTATTAGTCTCGCATTAAAGTAAATTAATAAAATTGAACAAAATCCAGAATTCTTGCTTTTTAAACAATAGGACGTTCGCTAACTTTCGTTCGATAACTGTGTTCTGTTTAACGTTTGTAGCCTGGGGATCTTCTCTCGATCTCCGCTCGACATCCGTCCGAAACAATTACTGTCAAATAAGTAATATTCGACAAAATTAAAAGACAAGTATCAAGAGCTTCATTCGCATCACGCGTCTTTTCATTTGGTCAAGTATTGCTTATTTGGGAGTAATTGTTTCGGACGGATGTCAGACGGAGATCGAGAGTAGACCCCCAGCACCGGAGTCTACAAACCTTGGTTAAGTCGGCAGGAATTTATATAAAGATATGAGATGAGATTATATTAAATAACGCACAAACTCATAGCCCCGCACTAGGGAAACCCTGTATCGCGGGTGCCATGGACACACACATAGACAACCACAACGTTACACGGACGGATGTCGGACGGAGATCGAGAGTAGACCCCCTGTGCCGGTCGAGACGTACGGGTGTGACGTCATTTCGGTTCGGTTTCGAAATACGACAATTTAACGTTCGATTCGGGTGTTGTGAATAAAAATGAAAAGAAATCGGTCGACAACTGTGGTATCGTAAAGTTCTAAATCGACCCACAGATCGAAGGAATTTTTTCTAAGCTTTCGATCTTTGTATCAATAATTATAACAAGTGGAGTAATTTCACAAAAATAATTTAATGTCATGGTGGTCTCACATCGTGACATTCAATAAAGTTAAAAATTAAATTCTAAAAAAAATAAACGATAATATGCTACGTTTTTTCTTCTTTCTACCTCCTGTTTTTTAGGGATTCGGTATTCGGCCGAATATCAAAAAACAGGCCGAATAAGCCGAATACGAAATAGTAACCGAATATTCGTTGCAACTCTGACCGTGATAAAACCTGCACATCGAAAAGGTCCACAAAATCAGCATTGGACCAGCGAGGCGGGCTATAGATTAAACATTCTCCAACAGACGTCGTATACTTAGTGTGTGTACGGAAAAGGTACTTACGAATCTCAAATATGGCAGTTGATCGTAATAAGGGTTGTTATAATAGTTGTATGTGTTTGAGGTGGTGTACGTGGGGTAGTTCTGGTTGTTTAAGTAGCCTTGCTGCTGCTGGATTGCATACTGCGTCGCGTCGGGCTTCACCATCCAGAACGGGTACTTTTCGTCCTGCGAACAAATGACATTCAGTACTGTATTTATTTATTTATTGAAAACACTTGACAGCTTACAGTATTTACATAATCAAAACGCTTACAAGTCAATCTGATTAAATAAAATGAAGAAAAATGGGTTACCTATCAGTAGTCCGAAATTACACTTTCCAGAAATAGCGTTTGCTCGAATTTTCATAACCTCGAAAGTAAATTTAAGAGGAAAGCGTTTTTTTTCTTTTAAACCTAACTTAACTACTAACCTAACCGAACCTAATCGTGTCTTTGCGATAAACATCCAACATATCCTGAAAGAACAACGGTTTCGTTACAATTCGGTTTTCGGTGTAATGTAAATTCGAACAAAATTATTTCGGAAAAAAAAATCGAGTTTGTGATAGGTTAACAGAAAAATTATATTACAAAATGAAATTGAAAAAGACTGCGCAATGTATGGTACCCACTCCACATGACACCAATGCTCGAAAAGTAGTTTACGAACAGAAGTATATCCGAAGTATATTTGTCAAAGAATATATCTATATTCTGATACTGGGTGAAGAAGTCGTTGAGGAGTGTAATTGCGCGCGATACTTCGCGCCTACTGGTACGTTGTCAGCGCACCGCGTGCGTGACATGCGCGTATGTGCATTCCTAAGCACTCTTAACCAAATCACCCTCTCTTCTGTGGAATAAACGATCCAGTGGAAATGGTACCAAAGTACCAAAGCCGTTGTCGCCTAGAGCATACATAAACTAAGAATTTTTTTTAAATTTTTTTTTATGATACTAATTGACGGGACGAACAAGTCGTGCGTCTGATGGTAAGCGACACGCCTGTCCATAACAGTTGCAGTGCCACTCAGAGCTTTGAATCGCAAAGTAAGATCTTTCTTCTGTGGACAAATTACACTAAAGCGACGGTCAATGCCCTGCGTGTCCAATACAATAATGGTTTTACGATGCTATTGGGGCTGCCACGATTTTGCAGCGCATCAGGTATGTTCGCGGACGCGCGTATTGATAGCTTCAGCGCAATTATTCGGAAGAGAACTGCCTCCCTGATGCGTCGCGTGCGTGGCAGTTCCAATAGCCTAGTTCGTTTGATCTGGGAGAACCCTGTCAGTGAATTGTGGAAGCACTGGAACTCAGTCCACATGGGTTCCAGGGGTTTAATTTATAAGTTACTGTAATATTTCGCAAATTTAGTACTAACATAGGTTGTAAGAATTTTTTTGTAACTAACACTAATATGGACTATGTCTGAAATAAACTTTTTGAATTTGAATTTTTTTGAATTTACTGCGCCCGTCGTCTTGATACAAGTTAACAAGTCCCATGTGCCTGTAATTTCACCTGAACCCTTAGCCTTCCAAACCGGAACGCAGTTATGCTTACATTACTACTTGGCGGTAGAAACAGGTAAGATGGCTCGAATGCTACTAAATTCTTACCGGTATTTTATTATTTATTATTGGGTCGAAGTCGTCAACGTGCAAAGTTACGCCACATATTTTTGTATAAGTTAGCAGTGTGTAACTTACAAAGTTAAACATCCTCGTGTAAACCTTCTGCGGGTCGTACCACCAATCGGGCTGGTCGACCTGGTTCGGCTGACCAGGAATGTAGCGTTGGCCGGTATTGATGGGGCGCCCGAACTCGTCCAGCGGGCCGTACTCCTGGTAGCTCGTCTCGTTGTAGATGTATGGGTTGTAGTTTGGACGCACTAGAACAAAAACATTCTTTCAAATAATAACAGATATATTTTTTCATCATAGTTGACCGTAATGTCCTAAATTACGCCCACGGGTTGTTTCATTACATTACCGCGCCCTATGGCAATAATGGATTTATTTTTTAATTTAATTGCACTGTGCTTCTCACACACTCTCTACTTCAACTTCTGTCAAGATTAAGTAAAGAATTTTTATCCTCAAAAAATCTGAATGTATTTTGCATAAACTTGAAGTACAGAAAAAAAACTTAACATTTCCGATGTGGTTATAATTTCACTAAATTAATTTTATATATTCTAATTCTGAAGTATGTTTATGTAGTTTATTTATTGGCTTCGCTACAAAACTACAGAATCAGAAGGAGAGCAAGATACAGAAGATCTAAATAAATCTGAAAGAAACATAAGCTATGTAAACTAACCTCTGGTGTATTGCGAGTTGCCGTATCCCAAGGGCGGTCCGAATTGCCCCCGGTTGTTGAACTGGCCCTGCGCATAGTACCGCGGCCGATACTGCGGGATGGGTCGAACTGTTGCCTTGAGCGTAAGGTTACCGTGCACGGGCGCTCCGGACGTGTAGTTCGCCATTATGCGGCCATGGATAAACGGCTCCGTGTTGAAGAAGAAAGCTGGCATAGTCACGTTCACCTACGCATACCAACACTTTGCTGTCGAGACGTATGACCTAATCATAGTGTTGTAAAAAACTCGAGTCCAGAAGTCTACATTTATGAACTCGACTCAATTTTGCATGGCTCGGTGGCCTAAAACACTCGCGAGTCCGAGCTGAGTCTAGCGAGTCATCGGAGCACGTACTCGAGTCTAAAAAGACTCGAATCGTCAACCTAACTCAAGTTTCAACAAAACGCGAGTTCGAAAACTCGACTCGAAGCGACTTCTATACTACGAAGTCTCGAGTACGACAAGCAGGTCTCAATTTTACTGAACAACTACTATTGCCCACGAATTAAATAAAAGACAAAACCCAATATAGTGATTTAGAAAAGAAAGAAGATATTAATACTACCACAGTAATTATACTATAGTTAAACACACCACAACACCCCTCAGTAGCTTGTACCTGTTACACTTACCTGACTCGCGCTTGACTCGTTACATAAATAGACTCGAACTCAAGCGCGAGTCGTTAGTAAATAGACTCGAGCACTAATGACGAATTCGAGTCTATTTGGTAACTCTATAGGCACGTAATACATCGACCAGTGATTCTCCGTCTTTATGAGGTGAGTGTTGTCAATTGCAGTCGAGTCCTAAAATGTCGACTGCTAGACTCAGTTTTTTACAACACTACCTAATCATACTTGACACTGATCTCATTAATACGTTAGAATAAGCGATTATACAACAGCCTTATAGCTAAGCAGCAATTCCTTTGAGATACCTTTAGGGTAGAAAATTTGAAGATGCAAATTTTATGTATCTTCTAAAATGTTGAACACCATCTCCTTCAAAGTTCAATAATTGTTCGGAAGCAAATTGGCTCACTATTGGACGACCAGGAATATGACTAATGGATCTGTACTGTCAACAGCTAGAAATGTCAAATTTAAACGATGATGCGATGGCATCGGTAAAAAAGTTTCCGACCAATAGTTATCAATTATCATGATTCTTCTAAATAATCAATATACTGGAACCCTGTAGTATCTTACCTCGAACCTGGTCTGGTAGTACTCTTCGACGAGGAATTGCGCCTCTTCGACCTGGCCCAAAGCCTCGACGCGGATATGCCACTCGCCAAACAGCGGCTGGTCTGACATCTGATACTGCAGACTCACTGTGCCGTAGTTGCTCTGCACACAATTCATATATGTTATTTTATGTTAAGCTATGATTGACTGCATGAAGTCGAAAACGACATTCGAGATCGACTTCACATATTAACTGCAAACATGCAGTCAATCTGTTAGCAGCCTAGAGCGGTTTTTAGCAGCGAGTCTGCAGGGATTCAGTAGCTTTCGTCTTCGTCTCTCTTTACACACGCGCGACTTAAGCAGTGATACAATCGCGATGCAAACACGATTCAAATGCTGTGCGCGTTTTTAACGATATAACATAAGCGATGCAGTGTCGCGTTTGTATCGCTCACGGAAAAAAACTAGTATTTATGTGGTCTGTGGTATCGCTGCTTAAAGCCGACGTGTGCAACCGGCACTTATTTAAACCCATCATGAAACAATATTTTTTTCTAATTGCCTAGAAATGATCAACCTGTTTTATTTTATTTGTCTCTGTTACTAGGTGATCCCAAAGGTTGGATGCTTTTAAATATAAGACCACATACCATTAATTATAAATATAAAAATTTTACGACAATTTGAAGAATTATTTCCATCGGAACATGACCTTGAAATTCTAAATAGAACTTTTTTCATCATAATTGTAAGTTACATCGATTCCTCCTAAAGAGAACAATGGAATGTGCTTTGCAATATCGAAGGGAGTTTTACGGTGCACGCATAAACCTACGGATTAAGCCTAGGTTTTTGTTGTACCGCCAGGTTTAGATTGGAATAAGTATTCTTTTTGTAAAATCTTTTTTAATAAATAAATAATAAATAAAGTCACGTTCTTTACAATAATATAGGCGTAAGTCACAATTCTGACGAAGGAAGGAGGTCATACTAGGAGGAAGTCAATTTAGGACATTCAAAGAAAATGTGATCAAGGGTTCCCTCGTCCAGACCACAGGGGAACAAAAGTTGTCTCTGACACGGATTTTATTGAGGAACGCAGGGGAACAAGTGTGGCCTAGTCTCAGTCTACAGATCGTTGAAATGGTTGCCTTACTAGCTTCGCGATACTTAGAAAAACCATGGTTTCACTGGGTATAATGCTTTAGTCCGTTGTTTGTCCATGATTGTTTTTTTTTTTACCCTAGGTATGATCTCCACAACAGCATTCCGTCGAAAAGATTCATCTAAAAATAAATACCTTGCTGCTACCGAAACGTTGACGTTATTGAACAATATTAACTGACAACATTAATCGAAACTGACACTGGCCCAAGCCTAGTGGCCGCCATTAAGGAAATAGAATAGAATTTTGACGAAAATTAATTAATTATATCACAATAGTGAGCATAAAATTCTAATCCAAAAAGTAATGTAAACAACTTTCCCATTAAAATTTAAATTAAACTTGCGTTCATGAATGCTAATGAGGCTGGTGGAACGTCCGTACAGCAATGGTCGTCATTTATAACTTAAACGAAAATGAATTAATTACATTATAATATAGCTCATGAGAGACAACAGGAGTCGGTTCGAGTATAACAAGTCGACGGATCGAATCTGTAACTTCTAAGTTACGAATATTTCTCAGTGTTTTTGATCAATATTAACTGACAATATTAATTATGACAACATAATGCCGACCACTTGGCTTGGGCCAGTAAACAGAAAATGTTAATTCCAAATTAATAAAAGTTAACAGAAAATTCAAGAAGAAATTGTTTTCTTCTTGAATTTTCTGTTAACTTTGAAGTGGAGAGTCAAGTTAAGGAAGACACAATTATTGTAACTTTCGTTCATAATTATCCCAAGGTTTAAGAAATCATGACAAGTATACAAGGCTTAAAATAAAATGTACGTCGTCTTACGTTCAAAAATAAATACTTATGTGTCTTTTTACGTTTTTTAAAAGTTTCATAATTTATTTCAGTTTTATGAGTGAAACTTATAGCGCATATTTAGGTGGACATAAATTTTCAACCGGTCGCGACTAAAAAATTTGCTATTCCAAAATGGGCATTGGTCTGTCAATGTCCGGATTACTTCGACCAGCCCTTGGCCACCACACCGTCAAGGCCTTGCTTCAGCAGTCATCACCACGTCTAACCAAGTGTCTTGCCCGACTCGATCTAAGATCTACGATACTACGATACTACGGTCCCCAACGTCTTAAACTTTCGTCCGAAAACGTACGTGAACGCTATTCGACTATAACCGGATTTATTTCGGCTTGTCAGCCGCCATGATTTTTGCGAATGTGTGCGTGTGTTTTGAAGTGAGTGCGTAGATTTCATGAATGAAATAGAAGCCGCAGACCCGCCGGCTTCAATTAAGCTGCACGCTGATTGTGCAGCTTAATTGAAGCCGGCTGTGTTGATGTGATTCCATCGGGACAGGATAAAATCCATCGGGACAGGTTATTACGCCTTTATTATTGAATATTTTTAATACAAGTTTTTTACCACCACTGAAAAAAGTGGTGGGGTACCAGCACTTAAAAAACACGCTGCCTAGTACCAAAGTTTTGGTAACACATGGAAAATTTTAGGCAAGCCGGTGGGAATCGAGTTATACGGAGACGCCTCGCCACTGATATATATATATAATAATATATATATATATTAAAAGAGATTGATTCAATACTTTCACTGTTTTGCGGAATCAAACAAAGCCCTTCGAAGTTGTATAGACCCTTAAAACCTTGTTAAAGATTTTTAACGTTGTGAACATTGACTTACAAATAAATGGACGACGGGTCTAATACAAAAACCACGAAAAAAATGTCCCAAGTCAACCTATTTAAACGTAGTGACATGTAAAGGAATAGGAAAAAGCTTAAACGTTGAATTTAAATTGTAATGTCATCGCAGTACTGTCTAATTTTGCTTGCTTCGCTGTCAGTCGAACAAACGAAGACTAAAGCGTGAATGACGCTCTGTATACGATTTTAACGCCATAAGTTCGGACACTTTTTAGCGCGGACCCGACGTCCATATAATTGTAAGTCAATGGTTGTGAAAGATTTTTTCTCGCATACAATTCCCATAATAACGTCCGAAACGAAACGAGCAAGCCATTTCCGTGTTTTAATTTTGTTCTCAAACAAAAGTTGAAATTAGAAAAGCAATTATAGAACCCGAGTCGTTAACAGAAATACTCATTTCAAAAGAATACCATGTTACATAACAAAGTTGTTTTGTGAGCTGTTGGGATGGAGTGTAAGATTGTCCTTCGGAGTTTGGTTACATAGGCGTAAAGCTCAAGGCACACAATAAGTCGTTATGTAAGATGATCTGAAGGTTTACAAGACCGTCTACACAAGTTTTTACAAAACAAATAAGTCTTTAAATCAATGTACAATATACTTGTTTATATACTACGTTTTCCTTCTGTATTTTTACTTTCAATTTCAAGGAAGTAAGTAAATGATAATATTACCAAAGTTTTCAACATTTCACGTAACGCATTATTAATATGACAATTTTTAATATATTAGCAATATAATGAAGAATGTAGATGAAAACAGTATGCGTAATATTACATGAGTAAAGTAGACCACTTAAAACTATAAAAATCTTGACAACTACGGAATTAGAGAATTATATAGTATTTATCCTATATTTGCATTGTAAATTATAACTACACACATCAAAAGTGTCTAGGGATCAAGTACGTTTAAGAGTATTGCTGCAATTAGGGTTAATTATATTAACTTTTTTGTATCGCTATTGATACTTTTTAGTGAGTTTTAACATTTACATAAGGAATATTGTTTAAAATTCGATAATAAGAAGAAAATCGATTGTCAATGTGGTTTTGTATAAAAATGAGTTATAGCGTTTTGAAAAAATCATTACAATATCTGCATCGGAACCGAAACAATTTACATTATTATGGAGAGACGACATCATTTAACCCGAGAAGTGATGATGCGAGCCGTCGGAATGTTGGAAGCTGGTTCCAGGCAACGTGCTGTGGCTTTCACTCTTAACACTACACAGAGCGTCATAAGTCGCCTCTGGACGCGCTATCGCATGACGGGCAGCGTGGCCGAGCGACATGGAGGACGATCTCGCATCACGACTCGCAGACAGGACCGGTATATCCAAAATACTGCTCGACGGAATCGTACCATGACCGCCATGATGTTGGTTACGAGGCTCCACAGCTCCTCAGGCTTGCTAATAAGCGATCAAACAATCCGAAATCGTTTACGTGAAGTGGGTCTGCGATCCCGAAGGCCGCTCAGAGTTCCACCTATTGCACCCTGCAATCGCAGGACCCGTTTACGTTGGGCTCGCAAACACAGAAACTGGGAGGAAGAAGACTGGCGCTATGTGTGCTTTTCGGATTAATCCCGCTTCGGTATGAGACCGGATACAAGACGTACTCGAGTTTGGAGAACATCTGGACGTCATGAACGTTTGAGATATTGTCAGGAAGTTCATCCATATGGTGGGGGAACAATAATGATATGGGCCGGTAAGAAAGAAGAGCTGTGCCGAGTATGCATACCGTACATACTCTACAAACAATATTTTGACTTGTTACAAAACACATAGGCGGCCATTCCTCAAAGTGATTTTGATGAACTCATCTTAAGCATGCCAAATCGCTGTAATTGTGTGATTCGTGTTAATGGTGGAAATACAGATTATTAATTTTCTTATCTTTACAATAAAAATGAGCAAAATCATCATTTTCGCCATTTTTTTGTCATTTAATTGACGCCGTTAATTTGAGTTTTTTCCCACAATTTGCAAAAACATCAATTTTAGTTTATTTTAATTAAATATAGGGGTAAGCGGTTAAATAAAACATAAGCATTAAAGTAAGAAGTCGTCCTGGAAGACTGGATTTGGTAAATATTGCTTAAATAATTTTTATTTCAAAAATATTCACTTGATCCCTAGACACTTTTGATGTGTGTATATTTATACTGTGTTGTAACTATTTTGTAGAACAAAGACGAAAATGAGATCGGCGAATCTGCTAGCTATCACTGTGTCGCTGTTAAGTTTTTGCCATTAATTTAAATTTGTTTGTTTTAATAAAAAATTTTGTGTGTAAATTATTAAAACGTTTGTTCCTCAACTTGACATTGGTGAAATCATCATAACATTTAAAAGAAGAAGTGTGTAAATAAATTAAGTTTAAAAAATATTATATTATTACTTAGATACTATTATTATCATTACATAGATATATAATGTTTCTCCTATATTTATATTAACTGTTTATTTATATCGCTTGATCCTTTTTTCACTCTTTCTCCATCTTTCTAAACCCATTTCCAAATTTCATTATTACGGTATTATAAGTTTCCTCATTATAAAAAACGAGTCAAAAAATTTCATCTTTGAGTTACAAACGCGTGCGTTCCTCAACTTGGCATTGGCGGGTTTACCGATATGGTATCGATGGGGTTCTAACATTATAAAGTAAAAGTAATATTTTTACAAAACTACCGCACATAGTCATTTTACGACATTCGCGAAATCATCGTTTATTTCGATGGAACCATAGCATTTAAAAGACGAAGAAGAAGAAGGAAGCAAGAAAAGGAATACCTTGATAATTTAGAAACCTGATTGAAGAAAGGTCTAAAAATGAGCATAATACTACGATTCTTGGGGTATTGCAATTAATACGTCACATACCCGATATCTATCATGCTTTATCATTTTATTGCTGAGTAATAATAGTGCTAGAAATAAAATTTAGTGTTTTATGAAAGAATGCACGATTTCAGAATGTACTTACCTGTCTGGAGAGCCATCTCTTCATAATACGCCGGTTGGGGTCCAACACGAAAACGTCGATGGCGCGACCGAACGCTTTCAACTCCGTGTTGATAGGAATCACACGAAAACGCACTGTAACAATAGATGATTTATGAGTTATATTTGTTTATCATGAGTTGCTTTAGCTGTATCAAGCACAAGTCCGGTCGTGTATGGATTACTGCTGCCACCTTTGGGATGGCTCTGCTACATACCATTAGACCTTGGATTCAATTGACAAGAGGCGACTCGGAATTAGTAGAGACGAAGCTGCAGAGCCTTGAACACCGCCGTAAAGTTGCCCGCTTATCGGTATTTTACAGGATATATCACGGAGAGTGCGATGTAATTACACGCAATTTAATTCCGCCTTCCCATCATCGGGGGACTAGACCAGAGAATAAAGAAAAAGAGAACGGACACTCTCCGCCCCTCCCTAGTTTTAGATACCGCACCACGCCCTGCACATTGCCGGTCACATTGACTGAACGACAACAAGGCTGCCGGCGAGCCGTTTTCGCGCGAAGACGCCCTTGATACTTGAATATAGTTTTCATTTCTTCATTACGAAACTTCTACGTTAATATAAAATAACGTTAATATAATGGTCGTGAATTATGCTGTGTAAGGCTGATTATCATCATTTTCCGAAAGATGAAACGAAGTAATTAAAAAAACCTATGTCTGAGACTCATTCGGCTATTGTTTTCTTCATTTATTTACTCCTAGATATGTATGTATAAAAAATACAGATTTATTATATCAATATAATGAGACGCCATGACTTCGCGAATTTTCTATTCGTATTGCCGATAAATATTACGTAGGTAATGAATATATCTAATTATTAACTAAACTTGGACAAGCAATTTCAAATACCTCGGTTACCTTACTTAAAAGTACATGTCCGAAATATAACATTTTAAGTGCTAATAATATATTTTTGAAATAAATGTTCAATATTACTCTAGTTAGTGAATTGTATAATTATTAGGATTCTATTAATAGAATCACAGATAACAGATTCGCGTTAGAATTTTTGCTATGTTGCCGCTCTGACCACGTAACGTAATAGTGAAAGTGATGGGCAACCCTGCCACTTCACGCACACATTTGCGCGTGTGCAGATAGCGCCTTGCTTTATGTAGTAGTAGTAAGTAAATAATTTTCGACTGTTGTATGGAGTGTCCGAGGTGTGACTAGACGTAGGCTTGGATTCCGGGACGGGTATGTTGAGGATATTCCAAAGATTCGCACAAAGCGTTACGCTTCCACATTTATAAGGCGAACGGCTATGGAGTGGAATTCCCTGCCTGCAGACTTGTTCCCTGAACGTTATAACTTGGACCTTTTCAATTATTTAGGTGTGCATGCTCCATCTTCGACCTCATCGTCACTTTCCATCAGGTGAGATGAAGGTCAATTGCGCACTTACGTTTGAATAAAAAAAAATTATGTGCCTGTAATTTCACCAGCACTCGTACCCTTCAAAACAGCAATGCAGTAATGCTTACACTATTTCTTGGCGGCAGAAATAGGTAAGGCGGCAGTACTTCCCTGCACGAACTCTTTCATAAGGAGCTCTACTGCTACTTACTACGAGGCATGTTACTACTCGTCACCAACAAATCCCTTGCCTTCCGTCCCCACAGAGGGCGCCGGGCCTAAGGGATATCATTCTTACCAGTTTGACTCTGCATATAAACAGGTTTGTCCATTTGAATGAAGATGGTCATAAAGCGTCGCGAGAATGACAGCTGTGTCTCGTTGACGAAAGCGCGGCCGCCGAACGGGTCGTCCAGGTACAGTCCTTCCACTCGCAGCTTGTAGTCGCCAGGGACTGAAGTCGCGGGTACCTGTAGTCCAAAAGTGGTCATGTAAAAACAATAATAATATTGTTTATTTTCTTACCATAATATAGGAAGTACATGACATCATGAACAATACATACCAACGATACAACTTTAGGAAACTGAAGATACTAACCCTACCGTCGATGTATATTTACGAGACTCGTGTTTATGTCAAACAAAATCTAAGAAACTTTAATATAGTCAAAACTAGAAACACAAGGAATAAAATAGAAATACGGCCCAAACAACGCCCTAACTTGGAATTTTACAGTAGAACGATGCTCTTATTAGAGCCCAAATTACTTAATAAATTATCGGATGCTGTTAAAGAATTAAATTGTAGACAATATAAAATGAAATTGTATTATTTGTTTGTTACTCAATACTACTACAATATTGCGTTTTAACGCATTATGCCAGAAACGCAAAATACCAAACAGGCAGAATGTCTGATTCACAGAATGCCAGATTCGCAAAATGCCAGATTCGTAAAATGCCAGATTGGCAGAATGTCAGATTAGCAAAATGCCAGGTATCATGGCCAGGTCTTCCTCCTCCTAACGCACGAACTCATGTCCAGTAGTCGACGTCATTCGGCTAAATAATGATAATGAAGCGAGGTTCGAAGTTCGAAGTTTTTATAATGTGTTAAAAACAAAATGTAGTTTCCTCTAACTAGCAAATAACTGATCTTTATATCATAAAGAAACTTGTTAACTTTACAGCTGCAATTAGGTATTACTAACTTAAACCTGCCTACTTAGAGATTTTGTTTTAGAAACTTTCAGGAATTGTTGTTAATATTTTAGAAAATATGGGAAAATATTTGAAAAAAATATTTGTTCGGGAAAACAAGATTTTTAACTATGTCCTGTATGTAGGACAATGAGACTATGTTTGTAAGTGCACTAATTAGCAATTAAGTGAAATTAATACTTGAATAAAATATAATTTATTGAAAATAAAAAAAACATAAATGTACTCATTAAACATGAACTCAAAAAACGAACAAAAAAATAAATATTTCTTCTGAAAAAAAAACGAGATATTTTCTTCTATCATTTAGACATTATTACTATGAAACTTATAGAATGTATTAAATTGTAAAATAGGATGTGAGAGATTAACAGAAACATATTTATTCTAAATTTCAGCCACGTGAAATTCGGTGAAAGTTTCCATTTGGCCGAAAAATCTCACATTTTTTTACAGAAAACATTTTTTTTTAAATTACAACCACTTTTTTTGCAGTGTGACTGTTTTAAAATGTTTATTACCTTTAACTCCCTTATACTCACCAGAAAACAATCTTGGAGCCATTCAATATTTCTAATATTTCATTATCTAATCTGTCATATCTATCATACATAACATAAAAAAATACCAAAAAAACTCCCAACTTTAAAAAAAATTTTTTGTTCTAAATTCAGAGGGAAGCACAGGAGGAAGGCTTGTTCCTGGCTGTGACATCAGGCATTTTGCGTATCTGGCATTCTGCGAATCTGGCATTCTGCGAATCTGACATTCTGCCTGTTTGGCATTTTGCGTTTCTGACATAATGCGTCAAAACGCACTGATGCTTTTTTACTTGATAACATAAAATTAAATCATCCTTTGTTTCGATGGAGCCATAGCATTCAAAAGAAGAAGAAAAACATAAAATTTAATTATTGTAACTTATATTTTTTTATTTCCTATTTTCTGGTTAAATTCCAATTGTTCTTGTTTGTTTATGCTATTATATTAATTTAACATTAATATATGCTACATCAAAAATGAAAAAAGAATGGTGTACAATATTCGAATGCCAAGTTTATGGTGAAATCATGGTGAATTGTACGATGTAATATAGTATACTTTATGACCTGCAACATTAACTACATTTTTCAGCAAATAAATGTCTTGTGTTCTTGATAATTATACTATAGTAGGCTGGTGCTGATAGTGGATTATGTTTGTGTATACGTGCATAAATATTATGTATGCGGGTGATTGAATGTGTTGTGAAGGGGTGTGAGTTAGCGTGAACGAAGGAATAATACGAAGATTGGCAGAGCGTTGGTGTGCTGGCAAGTGGGGGTTTTAAGAAAAGATTTATATTTTATAAAGTACCTAAATAAATAAATAACTAAGCAATAGTGAAATTACCCTCATGTTCAAAATCTCAGGAACGCCCTCTTTGACTCTCTCGATCACGTCGGCGATCTCAACGCCATTGCACGAGATGGACGCGCGGATAGTCATTTGCAGCCGCGCGCGCAGGATGTTGGCTGATATTTTGTAGATCTGGCCAGGGCGTACCATGCGCGAAGCTACTATGAAATATGTGCTGAAAAATTTATAAACAATTACTATAGAGTTCTTTACGAAAATAACTGTTGTTTAAAGGTATAACTGTTTCACGACCTCTAAGGCCCAAAAACTCACATTGCGGGTGCTGGTTACGGAGGTCCGGAATTCGATTCCCAGTAGGACCAATTTAGGAAATGAACTTTTTTAAAATTGTTTCTGATTTGGGTGCTCTAAGTAGTGCCCTGGCATAATCATCATCAACCCATTTATACGTCCCACTGCTGGGCACGGGTCTCCTCTCTGACGAGGGTTTAGGCGATAGTCCGCCACGCTCGCTCAATGGGGGTTGGTGACATCACACGTTTTCCGAAGGTTGTGAACCTTTTCCGACGTGCAGATTTCATAATGATGTTTTCCTTCTCCATAAATATCGTCAAATTCCAATTTAAATTTAGCACATGAATTCCGAAAAACTCGATGTACAAGCGCGGATTCGAATCCACCGCCTCTGCTTGCGGCCACGGCTATTATATGCCCTGCCAGACAGCCAAATTCCTAGTTTGAGACCATCAGTGTGGCACATTTTTTATTACCAGTTATGGTCAGAATCAAGCTTCCAACTTATTTTGTGTAGTGACAAAATTCATCATCGTTCGGCGGCCGCCACCGCCACAGACGAATTTGACCGGTATATAATAAAATCGGGCGTGGCGAAAATTTACTTTAATGGAATCAAATTGTTTAAAGTGAAACCAAATCATTTATTTCTCTATGGTATACAGGTTATAAAGGCGTTACAAGAATGAATTTTGAATCTCTGTGATACGCCTTGCGGCGCACAAAGTTTTCATCGTATTATGTAAGAAGTATCAGTATCTTTGTTAATAGGAAATGAAACTATTTTTTCGTATCTAAATCGCGTGTGTTTGTTTTTTCAAACATACCAACGTTTCAGGCCGATGGTGACATGTGACCTGTTAAGGGCCGTCACCATGGGACCTGTAAAGGGCCCGAAACGTTGGTTGGTTTGAAAAAACGGATATTCTTTACTTTTCATATGGTTGAATTACATTCCAGAATAGGTACATCCTATTAAGAGTTGATATTTTTTCTTCAACTTATTTTTAGGAACAGTACTTACAAGTACAAGTTAAAGTATAAAAAACCATTGAAAATGAGTACACAGTTTGATTTAAATGTTTTAGAGTTTATTAAACGCTGATCATGCCATTGGTCAAAGGCATCAGTTAAGCTAGTATGTTTAATTATTTGGTTTACAATCATATTATCAATGTATCATATAAAATCTCTGTCAAGATCACAATTTCAATCTTTTTTAAGTGAAATTAAATTGACTTGGTGAAATTTGGCAATTAATTGGTTACAATACTTTAAAAAAATTTGATTGTGGATGTAACTGTTTTTAAGACGTTTTGGACTAACAAATAAATTTGTGTGAAAATAATACTTGAAATAATAAATGTTTCATCATATTTGTATTGTGCTTGACTACAATTAATATATTTTGTTTAAAACCCAAAAAGTTAATACTTATTTGTTCACTTCACTTCACTTTTTATTTTTATGACTCAATCAATATGAGAACTGATGATTTTGCCAATGTCACAGTTGAAAGAAAAAAAACGAAACAAAAAAAAAATTTTCGCTAAGCTCTAATAGGACATTAACCGGTGTTGGTAAGTTGGTCTACGGGAGTACTCAGTTGAGAATGTAAAACAAAACAGCAAAACAATATTTATAAATATATGTTATTTAAGTGGATAAATTTACATAGAGTAACAATATGGGGGGAGAACACTAAAGTTAAGAGGTTGTTTATGTTAATGGGGCGGGGGAATTTTGGAGAAAGTAAGTTATAAAGTAGAACAGCAATATTAGGACAATTGAAAAAAATGTGTTCCAAGGTACCGTTATCATTGACTGCATTCAAAGTTACAAACTATTGTCTTCCTTAGCTGTCAAATTGGGCCCCTTGCATTGTGACCACTATAATAATATTCATAAAGCTCTTTGAATGAGTCAATGGCCAAGTCTAGGCAAGGTGAGTGAGTGGCTTGCAAAAGAATTATTAATTATTAAGTCATCACTGCCGGTGGTGCCAAATGGGTGGACTAATCTCTTGACTGAATGTCATCTAACATGTACATTAAGCACCCTGAACGAAAATTAAATAGAATCAATCTGTTCCACCATTCTCTGAGTGAATTCACTTAAGAAAGCATTTTACATTTTTTGTCTGTTCCATTGGGTTAATGACCTATAATAATAGAGATGAAGTTTTCAAAATAAAAATACTCACGCTTCATTTATTATAAGAGTGTTATGCTCCACTGGGGCATTATTGTAGGTATTTCCAAAAATCCTTCCACTATCCCAACTTGATTTTGGAGTGACATCACTGTTATACTGATTCTGATTGTAATTCAAATCATTTCGATTTTCAAACTGACCCTGGTTGGGAACATATGGGTTTCTATTTGAATCATATGGGTTTTTATTTGGCTCATATGAGTTCCTATTCAGATCATATTGGTTTTGATCTGGTAGATTGAGTTGATTGCGGTTTTGGTATCTTCTATTGGAGTCGTAAGGATTATCGTATTTGGGATTGCTAGAACTTGGGTTGTAGTAATCATTTGTTGGACTAGGCTGGTCAGGGTTGTAGGTAGGTGTGTCATACTCCTGGGATGTACATAAATGCAGTATTGCCAGACTTATAGGCAATATGAGATTCATAGTTTCAGTCTAGTGTTAGCTTCCTGTAACAAAAGTGCTCAGTTAAATAGAGGTACACTCGATACGTTGTATGAGATAACCGTTTGTAATTTATGTTAGTATTTTTTCTTTTTTAAGAAAGCTGTTGGTTAGTAACGAATGTTTAATGTAACGTGCCAATTTACGTGCTGAATAAAAAAAACAAAGGTTTTACATTCATTTCGAATGACCTAAGGCGATCGTAGTAAACAATAAAAATAACTCGAAATTGAATACACAACCACCAAATTACTGAATAAATTTAAAGTCAAGAGCAAGAAAGTAAAATCAAATTGATAATGAATAACCACAATCCTTTACTAGCCCTGTTATTAATTTAATAAAACAACAAATTACTTAACCTGAAGTTAACGCCCATGGAAGCTACTGGCTTTGTATTTTACTACAAGTATTACGCTGTCATTTGCACTAACACTGCACTTAAATACTAAAGCTATATTAAATAATCACAATAAACTAATTTAATCGTGGATATTCATTGAAAAAAAGATAATTCAATGAAATAAACAATACGTTAACACAGTCTCATTACTCACTTCATACAAATGCTCGGCGCAGCCGCACCACGCCCGGCTAGCATAAAACCGTAAACTGAATATTAATTATCTGTGGTCGTAGGATTATGCGCGTTCCACACGAAAATATGTTAATGTCAAAAAGAGAAGTACTATGAACAGTGCGTTAGAGCGAAAGAAATGGCAAAAAAAAAAGTTTAATTTGACTTCCGGTTAAAAAAACAAGATGACGCCTTTGGCGGTTATGTTTGAATTTACCGAATTAGTGCGTTTTGATACTTGCTCGCGAAATACGAACTAATATCAGTGTAGTGTAATTGTTTTCTTTTTTTAATCAATAAAGAGGCTCAAGTTCATACGTTTGTTTTCTCTACATAAACAACAAAAGGGCACAGTACAAGTCCACGCGTCTAGACAATTATTTTTAAAGATGCAAGTTACGGACACAAAATATGCGTGACCTCAAGGTTCACCCTGTTGTTCTTTTTGCAAGAATGTTGAACGAGAGATTTGGTGGTATTAAGAGAAATAAATTTGGGAGACTGAATGTCTGCACGTTTTCTTTGTTCATGGGGCAATATGAAAACGTAAAAGAATAAGGCAAGATTATTTATTTATCTCCCACTGCAAGCTGATAAGTTTACATTTACGTGTATAATACGCACATTGTCAGGGATAACAAAATAAAAAATATTTGGATTGATGATATTCTAATTAACCACTGAATTCTCCACAAGTTAGCAGGATCTCATAAACAAAGGAATTGATCAAATAATAATCACAAGAATAATGGGTACAGGTGTGAAAATATTGGATCACATAACTACCGCCTTCAATCTTCAGCTGTATAACAAGATAACAAGAGAGTCCATTAGGGGTTAGGTTCCTCCGGCCGGGGCCTCTTCTTCTCAGTGAAAACTCAAGTACATACGCCAGCATCCAATTTATCTTTTGACAAAAAAATCTGTACAAAATATATTAAATATATACTCTGTAATGCTAAAAACTGTAACGCTACTTCCTCAATAGTTCAATCACGATTATTAAATGATTTAAAAACACAATAACTCGTTCACTTGTGAGAACAAACATTAACCTATCTCTGCGAGCGCCGCCGCCTGCGGGCGGTAGACCTATATACAAGTCAACATTTTAAAATCATACTCTTCAGTCACAAGAATACCGTTGCTGCATCTGTTTAAAATTCCGTTGCATTAATTTCATCGTGTGCGATCGGGTCGCGTGTCACGTCCTTTGCTTATCGTCCTTGCGTGGCATCATAATATACATAGTTTATTGATAGTTGTGGTGCGGGTCAGTATGTGTTAGTTCCGCTCCGACTCCTCGCAGTCGCGCGAGATGTGTCCGGGCTTCCCGCACACGTAGCAGGTCTTAGTGCCGTCGGGACAGTTGCGTGAGATGTGGCCGGCCTTGTTGCAGTTGTAGCAGGTCTGGTTAGAGTCGCGCCCGCCTTCGGGGCAGTTTCGCGCGATGTGCCCAGTCTTGTTGCAGTTGTAGCAAGACGGCTCGTCCGGGCTTTGCGCACACTCGCGCGCTATGTGTCCCGTGCCGTTACATCTGAAAATGCGAACAAATCACGCGTGAAAAAAAAAAGATCGCCACATTTATACCAGTCATGGTCGAAAATGGTTCTTATTAATCTAGCACGAGAGGTCGGTGACTTTTCACAAACGCATGCAAAGGGGTCACGATCAAGTTCACCCAAACGTGACTGACGACGGCAGATGGTTCAACTCGTTCGACAAGTCGACGCGACGCACTGATCAATTCATATTGGCCAGGGTCAAACATCTACAAGGACCTAAAAAGAATAGCAAAATGATTCATTAGCCACCATTACAGGTGTACAAAAGTGTATGAGGTAGTACTTTAAATTTGTACCTAGCATTAATTGTACATAACTTGTTCTAAAACAGATTGCCATTGTGAGATAACAAACATCTTTAAAGGCAAATTATGTACAAGTCTATCTATCTATCTAGAAACTGACGTTGAGGTCAAGGTAAAAATCTACGACAATAAACTAATGCATGTTTTTGAACTTATGACGCCCTGGCGAAGTTATCACAATGAGGTCTATGGTTCGACAACGGACTGTATTCTGGTTTTGTTTTGTTATACATTTATTAATAAGACATTGAAGTGAGAATGAAGACCTGTAGCACCGGTCAGCTTCCTCCTTGCAGTCGCGCGCAAAGTGGCCAGTGCGGTTGCACTTGAAGCACTTCTCGCGTTGGCGGTTGAAACCAGAGTCGCGGACAGCGCCACCTCCCTGCGTGCACTCGCGAGCGAAGTGCCCGGTACGGTTGCACTTGTAGCATACGCTTGAACTCATTGCTGTAACAACAAAACATAGCTTTAACTTATTGTTGGTCAACAGAAACTTGTTGTCATAATTGATAGTGACAGCAAGCAATATACGGATCGTAGCACTAGTGTGTTAGAGAAGTGAAAAGGTCACGTTAAGATACTGTCATTGAGATTACGATGAGTAATATTTACAATTAAGATTAAAATAATATACAGCATTAAGAATTAACGAAAAATTATTGTGCAACATAGCAAGTATCCCGACCTTGCCTCTTGACATTTACATATGAAAAATCATTTACTGGTCATTGCCCTGTGACCACATCCTTTGCTCTAATAATTATCTGTGATAAGCCGATAACAGAAACAAAAATAACCACAATTTTCTTATTTACTGTACATTTAAAATTTCGCTGATACGACTCTGGCGTCCATAAGGCGTGCGCCAAGATCATTGCAAATTACAAATGATTGTTATCAATTGGTTCGCGACACACGACACAATAGAGATGACAAAAGCATCTTAGAGGGGAGGCAAATGATGCAAAACAATTGAAGTATCACTGAGGTCCTGTTCAACTCCCATTAGTATAATTCAATGAGAAACTGAATCTTAACTCATTACAAGGGACTGTGAAAATAGTTTATAGTGGTTGAATGAATTTATAAATATTACAAAAGTTTATACTATTATATGGAATGATTGTATCTAAGACTAAAAGTTTACATCCCGCTGTTGGGTCCAGTTATTTTACACATTCATTTACCATTGGTTATACATATTGTAACTGAACATTCATAATTAAAGGTCATAAATAGAATTGAACCTAGACAGGACAAAGAATCAAACCTCTCAATAATAAGTCTAGCTACGAGTTTAATTTATTGAGCATGTATATAATTTTGTTTCACATCTACAATGGTATTGTTAAGATGAAAGTTATGTGGCAACAAACAATTCATCAATGCTAAACATTGTACAAATTGTATTCACTACATACATCTTATATGTGCATTATATAAATAGAGATCAACGGTGGTGGAAAAATTGTGGTATGTATTTCACAGGCAATAAGAGAGCTGAAAAGATTAAGCTGGAAACATGCTGCTAATAAACATCCAAGTGAACACAATTGCTTTATAGCAGCAATTAAAGGCTGAATTTTGTTGCAAACTGTTTAGATAACACTTCAAATACAAAATCTACAAATACATACCAAAATACTTTAGATAATATACAGAATATACAATTAAATCACACTGATAATAGTGATAATAAATAAATATTTTTTATGAAAATTTTATACTTGAAAATTATTATTATAAAACAATCATACAAAAATTTGATAAATTCAAGCAGGTCGTGCCATTGTTGTCATCATTTTTTTTTAAATTTATAGTGCACTTTCTAAAATGTAATAGTGAAATGATGGTTGTGGGTTAGTAGGGCAATCAGATTGAAGTTTAACTGTCTCTGTATAGTTAAGATGAAAGAGTTGTGCAGAAAAACACGTCCTTACATTAATAAGTAACGCAATAACTGTAAAGGTAATTGTTTTGTATGTCATTGTAAATGCTTAATATTGGGACCGTTAATTTCGAGAACCAATGTATACGCTATCAAAAACTAACTATGAGAAGATTAAAGTTAAAAATAATTGTATATCTTTTATTATTTTTCCAAAATATTTAAAAATAACATTAGTTACAACAAAAAATAACTTGTCTCTCGATTTGGTGGCGTAGGCCTTACTGTGTATTTCAGAAACCTATCTGTTCTGAATGAATTTTGGGCAAATTTAATGAATTCTCATTATTCATTCTATGAGTTTAAAGTTCGTAAGAGTTTTACAAACACAAGGATTTTACACAAGTACTTGATCTTTGAGTGGTTAACCCGTATAGGTAATGAGTCAGGTGAACTATTATAATGCAAACTCATCTAAATCCCACAAATACGATTTAATTTAATATTAAACATTTTATATTTTGGATTTATGCAGATTGCCACTATGTGAATTTATCATTAAAATAAAATATTTGTAATTTACAAGAAAAACAAGTAGCATTTATAATATGTTTTAAATGGCTCTAGATGGATTAACACTTACTTATTGAGATAGCACATTACACATTCAATGTGAGTTTTTTGTATACAAGAAACTTATTGGAGTAAATTGTGCAATTTAATTTCTAGTATTGGTGAATGTTATAACAATCAAATCGATTATACAGGTAATTAATCCCTGTTTTTACTTGTTTCTTAGTCATAATTCTGATTATTCAGTTCCTATACGTAACTTTAACAGCGGAAAAGTAATATATTGACCTAAGATCTTTGTTGTTAGTGTTAATGAATAATTTTGTAGGTTAGCAAGTACAGCAATGCAGAACTGGGAGCACATTATGTAGGTATCTGAACAGTTTCTCCTCAACAGTATTAGTATGTACGTATCTACAGTGTACCACGCAAGTTCGTCGTACGAAGATGCGTCATACGTTAAGTAGGTAGTACGACAGGAAAAGAAAAAGTTACCTACATGCCACACGTAAAATACCTAAAATTACCTAATATTTTCTAAATTCAAACGAAAATATCGAATATGTAAGATGTTGACAAGATCTTTATTTTACAATGAAAACTCGAAAGCGACATTCCACAATAATTTACCTCGGGCTATGTATGTCAGTAACAAACTAGTTGGTTTGTCAAAAGTGACCACGTTCAATAAACAACCTAAACACAGAGCTGTTAATGAAAACTACAAAGGATCCACAGAAATACACTTGAGGAATATGCGTCGTGGCCACATTTACCAACGATTATATGAAAACACAGAGTACAACATACGTGCGCGGTATAGCCAGCAAAACCACGTGTAGAAGTACCGGTAGCGCGCGTTTTCACAATCGATATCTCACTTTACACTTACCGATTACTAGTGAAAGTTGTTGAGCACTTAAGTCACTATTATTTTGATCGTTTTCCGATCAAAATTTAGATGATTATTACAAATTAGCTGTAATTTACGACGCTTGGTTCGCAGGGAAGCCAGCCACCGTCACTACGAATTCGTAAAAGACATTTTGATCATAGACAAACAAAAAACTTTCGTGACATGAGAAAACTGCGCGTTTCCTTTTTGACAGTCGTCAGCCGTGGAACTTCATGCCTCTGTCGATTTCAATTTGTCTATCTCTATCTAGCATACATATTTAGCATACATATGTATGACAGAGATGACTATTTACAATCAATTATCCAACGACATGACTTTTTTTATAACTTGATAGCAAATTATTATTGTAGAGCTGCATTTTGTTATGTAGCAATGTCTGTCAAGTTAAATAAAAGAAAACTACATTCGTGTTTTCTTGAGGCATTGGTTTTTATGGGGCTGACACAATTATTCTGTGGGCTGACTGACATGATCAATGACGATAAAAGTCTTGACTGTATTTTTTTTTTTCAACTGCCTAAGATCAAAGCCGATAAATAAACAGTTAAAAAAATATGCGTAATGTTTATGGTATGGTCAAGTTTGAGGTTATTTTTTGTTGATGATTTTTCGAACAATTTATTTATTAATTCTACAGTGGAAGTTGTTAGTTAAAATGTCGAGCGATAAGAGGCCCTTCGAAACAGAAAGTACCGAAGATGCGGATGAAGGAGAGGGTTGGATTGGACCTATGCCTTCAGAAGCGGCGAAACCTAAAACCAAGAAACGGAAAGGTTTGTTGTTATTTTCTTGTTAAACTGAGACAATAACAACGATTAGTCCTTCGGTTTAGCTTTCTTAATATTTAATAATTTTATTGCTGTTTTAAGTATTGTAAATGTTCCAGTCATTACATTATTATACTCGAATGTTGTGTAATGGTTTTTCAGTTCTTGAGTTCGAATCCTTATACATGGAGAATCTGCCTTTGTCAGAGACGTATGAACGCAGCTATATGCACCGAGATGTGGTCACGTTCGTTGTGATGACAAAGACAGATTTTGTAATAACTGCTAGTCAAGACGGGCACTTAAAATTCTGGAAGAAACAGGTGGGTGGTCACAAAATACTTGCAAGCGAGCATTTGCTTCTAATCACAATTAAAAACATGGATTTTATCTAGAACGACTAATAAATATAATATAAAACGACTGTTTTACGTGTGGAGTATGCTAGTAGGAGTCCCAGACACCAGTTTGTTACACCATACACCTAAAGCTTAATACATACCTTTGCAGTAGAGCACCTTGTGAAAAAGTCCATCCAGGGAAATATTGCCACTGTATGTATTTCTTTCACCAAGACACTTCTGCATTCTGGTTTTGAAGGCTAAGGGGCTGGTGAAACTTCAAGTACATGAGGTTTGTCAACTTCCCGTCTCATGTTCATGGGGCAGGCAGTGCTCCTCAGGTCTTTGTAATTGAAGCTCTGAGTAGGTAGGTAGCTATTATAGGTAGACATGTCCCTTACCATATGATGCACAACTAGTTCATACTGTCACTTGAAATCATAAAAATATAATTACATATACTTTTAAAGAAGTCTGTAGAAATTCCAGGTGTGAATCTCTGTTTTAGTTTTGTCACTAATCTGTTTGTTGAAATTAACAGTGGCAAACTTTTTTAGTTACAAACTTTTTGTATTATAGTATTATTATAAGTATTTGAAATAATATTTGACCCTTTTCAGGAAGAAGGCATTGAATTTGTGAAGCATTTTCGTTGTCACTTGGCACCAATTTGCCACATGGCTGCCAACAGCACAGGAACCTTACTATGCACAGCCTCATCAGAGAAAGCTGTCAAAGTTTTTGATGTTGTCAATTTTGGTAAATATAATATTTTAAAAGAAAACAGTCTGTAGTTTAAATTAAGGACATATTGTTGTATTAAATACTCCGCTAATAACTTAATCACAAAAATAACGCAACAAAAACGCTGGAATCACAGACCATGACTGAAACAATTTCCAAAAAACAATTACAGGCGATTGTTCACGCAAGCTAATTTCATGAACAATCGCCTGCCATTTTTATTTTACTACATTTTTATTATAGAATACACACTACTCACTTTTTATTAGTTTTTTATCTTAAATCATTAGCACAACTTATGCTCTTAACAAAGAAGACGAGAAAATCCACCTTTCTCGCTTGCACCTATTATTGCATGTGCAAAGTTACACTCTCATAACTTTGGCTCAGTTTAGTTTATCTTCTATATAAACTAGTGTAATTTAATTCATACAAATCTGTGTTTTCTTTTCATAGAAGTAAAGGAAATAGGTGCTGAATTGATGCATTAAGGCTTATGTTACAACGGTATCAGCAAACTGCTTCGCAAGCTCTCTTGTACCAATAGACTTCTATCACAGACATCTTCAATGATACCTCCAATTAACAAAGACCTTGCACTAGATTAATTCAGACTTAATAGTGATCTAAATTAAATTGTACCTTAGGTGTTAAGTGACGTTTATTAAAAGAATCATGAGATAACATTGCATTGGTGTATGATTCGTCATTTCTGCACACCTGATATATCTCAGATTTTTTTATCTATCTACTAATATTTTAGAAAGATATCAAATTGTCTTAAATTCCATATTGATGGTGGAGTATAAACCTGACCAGTAAAATATTAAATACATTATTTTCAGATATGATAAACATGATAACATTGGAGTTTGAGCCTTATTGCACTGAATGGGTCCATTCTGCTGGAGATCCGATATCAGCTTTGGCAGTGTAAGTTCTTACTCCGTTTAATATTATTTAGTTTGATCATAATATAGATACTGTACTTGAGATTGATTTGTTAATTTTGTATATTGGTTCTATTCTGGGTGAGTTGGTGTAATATCCTTGCCTCAGGAAGCCCGTTACCAGGATAGTCAGGAACAAATCAAATACAAGTTCACAGCTAAGAGGTTTTATTCCGACTCCTTGCACAAAAGACTGACTGAAAGACAAACTTATACATACAAAATTACTATGATAAATTCTTAGTAACTAGGTAACACTTAGATAGATTATGAGCGGATAGTATTAAACTTTAATAATCAAAACTTATATCTAATTTCCGCATTTAAACGACACTTGCGAACCGGGCGACGCTGGGGCGGTACATGGGCTGTATCGGTGAGTCATCGGATCGCGGTGCCACGAAAGTGTCTATCTACCTCGCCTCCGGCCATTGCAGCCGGCGACACCGAAGCCCTCGGGCTCTCCGACGGGCTCCCATTCCACACACCAGCTTTTGAAACTGAAACCTCCTCTACACTACCGGGAGGCTGTTCCTCCGATTCCCGCGGATGTATTAGTGAATTTCGTGACCTATTCCTCAATTGATCAATGTGCCTGTGAATTTGCTTTCCATTTTCGTCCAGCACCTTAAAGTTACTTCGTCCTAACGTACCTCTAACCGTACCTGGTGACCACTTTTCCCCTTTTAGGTACTGACGATACCATACCTCCTCCCCGACCTCCAAACTCCTCTCTGCACCTCCTGCCGCCTCGGTCTGGCGCCGCTGGGCCTGTCGTACTTAGGCCTCCCTGTCCGGTTTCAAAGCATCCAGCCGCGTGCGTAGATGCCTAATAGCAACCTAGCGGGACTCTCTCCGGTAGATGAATGTTCGGTATTGCGGTAATAAAGTAAAAACGTATCTAAGGACCTATTTACACTTTCACCTTCTGGTGTTGCTTTCTTTATTACCTTTTTCAACGTCTTAATCGCCTTTTCAGCCGCCACGTTAGACGAAGGGTGATAGGGGGCCGTAAACACATGTTCAATCCCGTCTTCCTTTAAGAATGTTTGAAATTCTAAACTAGTGAATGGGCCCTAAAAAGTCTAGATGTACCCTAGACCAAGGTCGCAGTGGCTACGGCCAAACAAAGGCTGGTCCGCGTGCGCCGCGCATATGGCGCACGTGCGGCACGGTGCCTCCACTGCCTCATCGATACCGGCCCACCACTCATAGCTGCGCGCTGTTGCTTTCGACTTCACGATACTCTTGTGAGGTTCATGGATCACTTCCAACACCTTAGCCCTACAGCTTTCCGGAATCACCACCCTTTGTCCCCACATTATGCAACGTAATTCCTCATACAGTTCTAACTTTCTATTAAAGTACGATTGTAACCCTGAAAATTCGCATTGCGTAGGCCAACCGTCACGTATGTAGCTCAGAACCCTACTCAATAAATCTTTTAATGTTTGGCTCTTGTAAAAATGTCTGTTCCGGTATAGAGTCCCTGGCCACCGTTTCAGACTTCATTGGTGACCTAGATAACCCATCAGCACAATTTTCGTTGGTTTTAACGTGCTGATAAAATTACTGCCCAGGGCTGCATACGACTAGCTGTCATCGTATTTGGTCCAAAAATATAAACCAACGGCTTATTGTCTGTTCTTAAAACAAGTTGCGGCCATATACATACTGATCAAATTTTTTCATATAAAAAATATTAGCGAGAGCCTCGCGATGAGTCTGAGAGTCGTATTCTAGAACGCTATTCAATGCTCAAGCCAGGATTGCACTGGCAACACAAGCACTGGAAATACGACTCTAATGGCAGGGACTTGAGTCTGATTTCGAGTGCTTTAAACCATACTCAAATCCTGACTTGCATTGAGTAGAGTTCTAGAATACGGCCCTGAGAGTATTTTCACTCAGAGTTCGCGATGCATAAGCGACGGGCCGCTCCCCGCGCGCGTCCGGCTGCGCTAGTACCCCGCCGACCCCCCGTGCGCTTGCGTCGCATGTCACTATCAAGGGTTTGTTTGGATCGTAATGTGCCAATGTGCCAACACGTCGGTGTCGGTCAGCTGACGTTTTACTTTGTTGAATGTTAGTTCGCACTCCCTACTCCAAAACCACTCTACTACTTTGCGCAGTAATCTATACAGGGGCACTAACATTGGGCTAAATTTTTTAATAAATTTAGGGAAAAAATTGACCATGCCTATAAACGGACGTAATTCACTGATATTCTGAGGTCGCGGAATCTTTAAAATTGCTTCTATTTTCGACCGCTTTGATACCTTTTCTCGATACTACGTAACCTAGGTATGCGATTTCTTCAGCGAGAAAAACACATTTATTTTTTTTTAACTTTAAACCGTTTTCTAGCAACCGTTTCAAAACAGCTTCTAAAGCTAGCAAATGCTCCCCCTCAGTTTTCCCTCCTACAATAACATCGCCTAAAAATACTTGCGTATTGGGAATATTGCTTAATAAGTTAGTCATAACACGTTGGAAAATACCCACGCTTGAAGCAAGACCGTAAATTAACCTATTATAGCCGAAAAGGCCACGATGTGTGTTAATAACTGTGTATTTTTTTGAAGTATCCAGTTCTATTTGATTATAAGCCTGGGATAAATCGAGCTTACTAAAATACCGGTTGCCATTTAACCCCACTAATACATCCTCTGTCTTCCGTAACGGGTAACGATCGAATTGTAAGACCGGGTTCATAGTCGCCTTATAGTCCGCGCAAATCCTAAGCGTACCGTCTGGCTTGTTGATGGGGACGAGTGGCGAGGCCCAGTCGGAGCAGTCGACGGGCTCGATGACGCCGGCGCGCAGCATGCCGTCCAGCTCCGCGTCAACGTGCTCCCGCAGCGCGTACGGCAGCGGCCTCTAGCGATGAAACACCGGCTCTTTCTTCCGACATCGCATATCCGCAGTGTCGCTTTACCGCCCGAGTACCGGCCCACCCACCGTTGAACAGTTCTTCATACCTGTTGAGCATTTTACAAATTTCTTTATCTATTGATTGATTACTAATAAAATTAACACTAAACTGTGGTATTTTTATCTGTGACTCGGTTAGCTATTGTCTGCCTAATAATGATGTCGTACTACGTTCTATTATGAACAATTCTAAAATCTTTTGATGCTCCCCGTAATGAACCGTTGGCCTAATAATGCCTAACGTTTTAATTTTAGATCCATTATAAAATTTTAAAACGGTAGTGTCCCTTTCTAACTGTAAATGCTGAAAATTACTTTCATGCATTGTTTTGCTCACACAAGAAATGGCCGTACCTGAATCTATTTCCATTTTAATAATTTTATCTTCTATGTAGATTGGCACACTTCAGTAAGTGTGCCACAAGGCAGTCCTTGTAGCTTAGGTGGTGGAGTTCCTCCACGAAACTTCCGTCGTCCTCCTCGCCCGATTCGCAGCCGACGTCACCAAAGTGGAAGCGCCTCTGTCCCGCTTTCACCCCTCCGCGACGCTGCTCCCGACCTCTCTGCCCTGGCTGGGCCAAAGGCTGTGCGCGCCACCCCGGGCACACTCGCCGTAAGTGCCCTGTTTGTTGGCACTTGCTGCATACGAACTCGTGATAACGACAATTAGCCACACTATGATTATGTGCGCCACAAGCTCCACATGCGTAATCCCCGCTAGTGCGTCCGTGCACCGAGCGATAGTCCGCTGTTACACTGCTCGGGCCGCCGCCGCCGCCATTTCACGTTGCGCTCCACTCGTCCCGGTGCACTGCGCCCGACTCGCCACGACTCGCCACCACTCGCGACAGCTCCTGATCCCTCGACTGCCAGTCCCTCTCCGCCGCCTCTAATGAACTTGATACGGATACTGCTTTCATAAAACTAACCTCATCACTTTCCGCGAATAACTGTTGTCTTGTGACGTCACTACTTAGTCCGCGTACAAATTGATCTCTCAAATTCTCGTTCAATTTGTCGCCGAATTTGCAATTTCTAGATAACCTTTTTAGTTCAGTCACGAATCTTGCAATATTTTCGCCTGTTAACTGTCTCCTTTCTCTAAATGGATGGTATCATTTCGCTAGCGCCGAAGGTGGGGGTTGTAAATGACTGCGTAATATTTTGTGGACTGTTTCGAACGATAATTCGGACGGTTTCTTTGGGCTAGCTAAATTTACCAACAGTTCATACGCCTCATCACCCATGGACGCTATTAATATGAACAGCTTCATCTTCTTGACCGTATTGACCTTAAAGTCCATGTCGAGACGAGCCACGTAAGATGACCATGACGGCTTTAACGTCAAACTCACTCAGTTTACCGATCGACATTCTATAATTCACTTTATCACACGCGTAAATAATTATCTATCTCGTCGCCACTGTAATATCCTTGCCTCAGGAACCCCTTACCAGGATAGTCAGGAACAAATCAAATACAAGTTCACAGCTGAGAGGTTTTATTCCGACTCCTTGCACAAAAGATTTTACATATACCTACATTACAGCTGGGTAATGCCCTGGAGTGAATTACGAAGTTCTTGTACTCATAGTACCGTAACCGTGACCATGGGACCTGTAAAGGGCCCGAAACGTCGGTTTGTTTGTAAAAACAAATATACGCGATTTAAAGCCGGAAAAATAGTTTCATTTCCTATGTGTAACAATCGCGAAAACCTAAGAACTCGATAATGTATGCTATCTTTAGGTAATATTGTGAAAGTATCATCAACGTACCGTTTGAAAATCTTCGGTCTAGCCGGGGCCATGGGTAAAACTCTCTCCTCGAAGTCTTCCATGAAAATATCGGCAACAACGGGAGATACCGGAGAGCCCATCGCTATGCCGTCGATTTGTAGGTAGAATTCATTACTCCACAATAGATATATAGATTTTAAGACTTTCGTGGTTATTCACTAAATAATTATCACTAATATCAGGTTTCTTACCACGGTATGACTTCTTTTTATTTTCCCGATATTTCGGAACGGTTGTTGGTTGTTGTTGATAAGAAACCTGATATTAGTGATAATCATTCCACAATAGATAGCCTGATGTTAGGCAGTGTTCTAATAATTCTGCATATTCAATGGACATATTATGTTCCCTTAGCTTTCTACGTACAATTTCAATGCAGTCTTTTACTGGTTGGTGAACACAGCGACTGAACATCAAAACTGACCATGGTGTCATCATCAGTTAACCGTAGATCTTTGATTCCACTGATGAAATGGTACGAATCTTTCAGATGTGTTTCCTCTCAATGGTGACAGTAGCTTTGCCATGTGTTGTGCCAGTTTGTAGGTTGGTGTGTCAATCTGGCCAACTATGGAACGGAATGGGGTGTCAGCCTTATGTATTTTTGGTAACCCATACAGTTTTGGAGGTTTTACGCAGCAGGGTACAAACTCACTTACATTTATTACTCATATATTAGTTAGTTGTTGTTTTTAATATCTTGGTGGTAGGATATTTTTTCATCTTTTTATACGTGCTTTCATCCGATAGTAAGTCAGCTATTTTGCTGTTATAATCTGACTTATTCATGACCACCGTCGCGTTACCTTTATCTGCACGGAGGATGACTACTTCAGGATCTTCGCGGAACGTCTTCAGCGCGTTATATTCATCTCGAGTAAGATTCGGTCTGGGCTTTTATTTGAACGCAATATTGACGAAACGTTTTGGCGTATTGCCGCCAAATCTTCCTTTCTTATGTTATTTTTAACTAGACAATCCTCAACGTTACAAATAATTTCTTCGTATGGAACACGACGAGGAGACAGCGAAATTCAAACCCTTTTGCTAAACAGAATGAGCAGACTGATCTAATGTTTTGTTCGATAAGTTAATCACAGATTGAGGTTTTACACACTATAATAATAATATAATAACGCATACACTAAACATAGCCCCGCACTAGGAAAACCCTGTGTCGCGGGTGCCATGGACACACACATAAACAACCAGAAATGACACCCAAACTCACGAGATAAATAAATGTAGGACATACAAATATTTCTCCCGACCCGGGAATCGAACCTGGGACTTCTGCGTGGCAGTCCGACATGGTAACCGTTCGGCCACGGAGGCAGTTAAACTGCTGTATTCATCCTGTCCGTTATCGTCAGGATCTATTTGCTGATACCCCTTACTCTTAGTACCATTGAACTATGACTTTTGTGACGTTTTAATTACGTATGAATGTTAAGCAGCAATGCACCTCAATGATGATGGACAAAACCGAAATGAAACATGCTTGTTGAAAACCTAAAATCCCTAATGAGCATCGTGACAGACTATGGAACAAAACCCTATCCTTATAAGAGACCCGATGACAGTGATCATGATGATAAATAATTTTCTACAGGTCAGAAAAAGACAGCAACAAGATACACATATTTGACGGTACACAAGCATCAGGAACTCCGTTGCATACATTCGAAACCCTACATCAAAGCACAGTGGCAACAATCAAATACAATCCTATTTTCGACGTGGCCGTCTCTGTCGATAAAGCTGGCATCGTCGAATACTGGACCGGGCCAAAGTACGAGTACCAGTTTCCCAAGAACGTGACATTTGAGTCAAAGTTAGATACAGATCTCTTTGATTTTGTTAAGAACAAAACTTACCCTACGGCCCTGGCGTTCTCGCCTGATGGAAAAAAGATGGCGTCTATCAGTTTGGATAGAAAGGTATGTTGTCTCTCGTTGTCTTGTTTTTGTATTATTTTCAATCTTACTTACATACGTTTGGTGGGCGTATACCAGGTGTCGGGTTTGATTCTCGATCAATTGACGAAATGAACTTTTCTAAATTGATTCAGGGTTTACTGCCGTTGTCCGCCCGACATCTGTCCTAAAAAACTCTTGTCAAATAAGTAACACTCGACCAAGTTAAAATACAATGCCAAGTATGAAGCTTCATTCGCATCATAGGTCCGAAAGGACGGATTTTGGTCGGTGAACCCTCTGGTCTGGGCGTTCTGGATGCCACAGAAAGATTACTTTAAGATTAGGTAATTAGTGTGGTTATCTGATTGTTATTAAACATAATATCACGGGCGTCTTTCACGGGTTAGGCAGAGACTTTCGTGCTCCATCCTGAACACTTTCTCTTCCCTTCATTCGCATCACCCTCTTCATGTACACTTCTAATCTTCTGCTGTAATTAAAGTGTGTATTTTGTCACAGTAATACCATAGTATAATACGACATGTAGGATAACTCCATACAAATGTAACAGCGCGGCTTGTGTGTGTGCACGCCCGGTGCGCGTCTTGTGCACACATTCGCATAATCTCGCGGTGCACTTATGCTCAGGCCACACGGAGGCGGCCGCGGAAGCGTTCCGGGCGCGGTAATTTTTGTAATGTACGAGTTCATATGAACCCTGCGTGGCCTGAGCATTAGGGCATGCAAAAACCGAGTGATTTTGAAAACCGATTTCTTCGGTTTTTAATTTCCGGTTACCCGGTTATTTGACTTTTTCGGATATTTTTCTATTGCTTCCCAAATAATTCTTTAAAAGTGTCAAGAAACTAAAAAGCCTCGCGCGCCTCTCACCAGGCAAGGGTTACCCGTCTCCAGGACGTTATCGAATTGCCCTACTTAGTCCTATTATATTAAGGTATTACTTTTAACTGTTGATGAGTCTTGAAAGTCCATCAGTTCATTCCAGGCTGCTTAATCATCCGCTGCATAATTTGTCATAACTTTATGTTAAATGTATGCAGTGTTAATATAACGTGTAGTGTTTGTCGGTATAATAGGTGCGTGTGTTCAATTTCGTGTCAGGCAAGCTGCGCAAAGTGCTGGACGAGAGCCTCCAGCGCTTCCAAGAGCTCCAGCACCAGACGCAGCAGCTGCCCAACATGGAGTTTGGCAGAAGGTAACTTTCTGCACGTTCAACAATAATTTGTTTATTTTAAATAGAAAACCACCCTGAGACATATTTAAGTCGAATTTTTGCTGGACATGTTTCGAACCAATTCGTAGTCCTTAATCATGAGATTCCGCGGCGGTGACTCGACGGAAACATGTCGCAAGCAAAAATTCGACTTACGTGAGTACGTAAAAAATCTATAGCTTCAAAACAATTTATAAAAAAACACGACTCAAAACATGACGGCCTCCGTGGTCGACTGGCTTGCGTTTTTCCCGGGTTCGATCCCTGGCCCGTCAATGTAGAAAATCTAACTTTTCTGTATTGCCACTTCTATACAGTCTGGGTGTTTGTGGTACCGTCTTTGTTTCCGTTTTCCATAACACAAGTGCTTTACTTATGTAGTTTGGGATCAGAGCAACGTATGATGATGTTGTCTAATATATTATTATCAATGTTTGAATTAAGGTGATCCACATATAATAGATACATGTATATGTAGATATAGCTACAAGGTGCGACATAGAGTCGTTAAAACTACCAAATATTATTTAATTACTTTTTTCCGGAAATGGTTTTACTGCATCGTAGGACGAAACTACTGACCTAGGAAGTCGAAGTTGGATTTCAAAGTAATTGTAAAGGCCGGCGCAGAGTGACGTCGCGGCATGGCATGGCATGGCACGGCAAAGGATTTTATTTTTGATCAAGTTATTTTTATCCTTATTTCATCGAGGTTAGAATTCATATTACTTTATTTCGAAACAATTATACCGCGGCACGTCGTGGCATGCCGCAGGACGCCGCGGTATGCCGCGGTACATCGTAGCATGCCGTTTCATTCCACATACGTCCCGCAAGTCACGTCGGTCAAAGAATTATGACAATTAAACTAATTGAAATAAGGTTTGAGACAAAACTAGTTGAAAATTAGTGGCTGGCCTTGCTGCGGGACGCCACGATGTGCCGCGGCATGCCGCAACGCGCTTCGGCATGCCGCGACGCGCTTCGACATGCCGCGGCATGCCGTGCCGTGCCGCGACGTCAGTCTGCGCCGGCCTTAATAGTGCCATGTAAAAAAATGCAGTACATAATTGACCAAAGCAGGGAATAAAAAAGTAACGAGAATGTATGTCACTCTCCTTTAGATAAAAACAAAAAAAAAATGTATGACATTCAATAAAACATTTAACTACGGTGAATAGCGACATCTCTAGCCAGGTCTGGTAGCTGTAAAGCCTAACTGGGTGAAATACTTTCATAGATTTTTCATAGATGGCGCTACGACTAAAAAAGTCGTTAAAAACCAGATACGACAAACAATCACAGAGAAACATTCGTGAGGTCCGCTGGTTCGGTTTGCTAGAAGACGTTGGTTCGAACCCAAGCAGTTCGAACATCTTTGTATTAATAATTATAAGAAACTAGTGGAGTAATTTAACAAAAAAATAATTGAATATTATGGTGGTGTAACATCCAATAACACGATAAAAACCACAACAAACACTTGCATGAAGCAGAGTAAACCAATAGTCTGCTTTACTAGAGTCATAAATTATTCAATAAAATGTTTGTGAGTTTACGCTTTAGTGCATTCACGATTTAATTGAATATGTTTGCCACCTACAATCTATAACAACAATCTTAATTCTGGTCAAGGGAAGATCTTTACAAATACCCTGGGTTCTTGGGGGTCGCAGGGGAAGCTCAATGCTAAGGCGCTTTGAATTCACCTCGTTGAAACCTCCAGTGGTCAGAATGCTGACTCTGAATCTTTCTCCAAAGTGTAAGCGATTTAAAGGAAAACCGTTCTTGGGCATAGTCGGTCTATTACATGGACCTAAAAGTTTTTAAAGAGTGGTGACACTCTAAGACACCCTTTGACTGTCACAGGATGGCAACAGAACGAGATCTTGAGAAATCGGACTACGTGCACTTAGCAAACATAATATTCGACATGAGTGGGTACTTCATACTGTACGCGACGATGTTGGGCGTGAAGGTGGTCAACCTGGTCACTAATAAATGCGTCACTATGCTGGGCAAGCCGGAGAACTTGCGGCCGTTGAATCTCGCGCTGTTTCAGGTACGTTGTATTTTGTTTGAATATAGAATGTTCTAAACCCTTACACTCAATTGACAGCTGTCATTTATACCCGAAGACTCGCGCACCGTAATGGCGGCGCTAGAGAATATTTGCAGATGCTCACAAAAATTACAATTATTTAAATTTGTAAAGTGAATGTTGTCTTGGAACGGCTTATACTTTATATTACAATATAATAATAAAACCTTCTTTTACACAGAAAAAAAGGATTTCTGCTAATTAGAAAGAGCAATTTCTCAAAACATTTGCTAATTCTGAAAAAATATTTATTAAAAGTAATAAAATATTGTCATTACAAAAGTACTGCTTATCTTTTTCTAATACAATTTTACTCTTAACTTTATTCGAAATTTGAGACAAATACGTTCACTTCAAGATTTTATTTCATTTCTAATCAATTAATTGGACATTACTTACATCAAGAAATTTTTACCTCTTACATCAAATTTAAATAATCTTAAATGAATTCAAAATTTCTTAGGTGTATTTTAAGAAAATATATTCTTAAACAAAAAAAAGAAGTAGTTTTCTATTCAGATTAATATTCTAAATTCTAGAGTATATTCTTAAAGTAACATTTCGTTGCGTTTTCATAGTCAATTAGTTGTACTCTGAAACGCGCTATCGTTTTGTTAACTTCAATAGTATAAAGTCATCTCATATATTTGGAATTGTTAATGCTTTCTGACGCTGTAGCATTTATCCGGCACTGAATGGTCCTCAAGTATTTGAGAAGATTCCGTTCTATTTCTGCTACTTTAAGGTTTGGCACTGAACTGTGTGCTTTCACGCCAGTGAGACATACTGTCGGGTACATAACCCTGTAAATTTACGCTTTTTCATATTAGAAAACATAAATCTTCAGTCAAATAATGAAGAACCTCTTAATTTTTCATTCTTTTTTTTTTCAAATCAAAATCGAACATTTCTAATAACAAATAAATATTTTGTTGAACGTTTTTAACGTTTGTAACTTTGTGACTTGAAGTAAATTAATTTGCTCTTGGATTAAATATTTCTGTCTTATAACTAAAATACACTTCTGAGACGGTTTTTTTACTATTACCAAATAATTATTCTCTAGCGTCTATAAGGAGAGGATCGTTTTGTTGGATTTAATAAATTTGTCTTCATAAAAGGAATTTTGTCTTTTTCTAAGTAATCTGTTTTTACCGTGTACTCGAAGCGTACTTGGACTTAATGATCTTGATCCATCGTACGGGTGATGAGTCCGCTAAATGCTTTTTCTGAACTCTAGTTTTGAATTATTTCACTACTCATCAGATCGTTGTTTTTAAACTGCAGGTACTTCGTAAAACACTGACAGCCGGCTCTTTTCTTACTAATTGAACAAAGTTACTTCTGCATAAAGATTATCAAGTTTAGAATTAAGTGCCAATGCGTGAAAGTGTTTAAATTTGTTGTTGGCACTATACAGACAGAACGTTTACCGAGATGGCTCACTCTTTTGTCCTATTGTATTCTAAACATGAACTTAGAAGACGAATCGGTGAAAATAATATTTCGCCAACTATACCTGTCTCTCTCTCTCGTCGGGCAGCCCAACTCTTTAAATAAGTTCTGAGCTTCTGAACCCCAGGGCCCCGCGCCATTTCGACATCGATCGGTACGAAGATATATACATGGGCTCCAAGGCAGAATATCTTGCGTGCAAGTCTACATGTGTTTATTTTAATGCTAATCGGTTTACGTACTTTGGCTGTACGTAAAACGTGTGATAGGAAATGGAAGTAAACAGTGGTATAAGTGGGTTCTCCGACGTTGTTATAACGTGACCAAATGCAGTCAAACTTCAGAATCGGTTGTATAATCTACATATGTATGTATTTCAAGATAACACAAGGTGCCAGCTTTGGACCATATATGCGATACAAAAAGTATTATTAATCAGTTATCAGATAGGTCCGGGTAGCCGTTCCCACAAGGTTTCTATATCTAGTAAGTTTATAATACATGCACATAATCGAAATTTGGTTGGAGTAGTCATTATTCGAAGGAACACTAACAACACGATTAAATATTTATATAAAATTGGTCAACGCCATTAATGGACAAAACTGCGAAATGGTCATAGTTGCTTAAGGCAGTCTGCATTGCATAAAATAAATTTGTTAAGGTGGTGTTTTTGTTTTCATTTTTTAAAAGTAAGTGTTTGTTTTGCTTGCAATATCTTGCGGCTTATGTAATTATTTTCAAGTTCGTCTTTCTTATCTTCAATAAGATTACAGGCGACTCTGAAAAATAGATAACATTGAAATAAGGCGGTAGTGGGATAGCTAAACTAAAACTAAAAACAAAAAAAAATTAAATAAATAACACACACTCATAGCCCCCACACTAGGAAAATCCTGTATCGCAGGTGCCATGGACACACACATAAACAACCACAAATTGCACGTGAGAAATAAATGAAATTTAGTGGCAGAAGAGCTCCTTGTGTAAGAGTTCATTTAGGGAAGTACTGCCACTTTACCTCTTTCTGCCGCCAAGCGGTATTGTCCGCATTACTGCGTTTCGGTTTTTCAAACCACCAGCACCAGTTTATTACAGGCGTATGGGACTTCTCGACTTATGTCTCAGGGTGACGGGCGCAGTGGTTTACCACCAGGTGCACGACTAGGTCGTCCTTGTTACTTGGTATCGTAAACAAATATTTCTCCCGGCCCGGGAATCGAATCCGGTACCTCAGCATGGCAGACAAGTGTGATAACCGTTCGGCCACGGAGCAATAGAGTTTTTTCTTGTAATTACGCAATTAAGTTTATACTAGTGGCTTACCTCTGGTCCAATATGAATGGCCAGAGCCATATCGTACTCAAGCGCACCAATATAGATCTGCGCTCTGCCGTCGTTGCCCACTGTGACGGTTTTGCCCACACACGAATTGCCTAGCGTGTTGCCCGATATCACATCGCAGTATGTACCTGCTGGGAGACATGTCTGAAAGATAACCGACATTATTACTTTTGGAAGATAAATAAAAAAAATGTTTCTTTGAAGCCTGTTGTATTAATGAGACTGCTACTAAAAGTGTGCATGCGCGAAGTACGTATAATATAACTCCATGCAGACGAAACGGACTGCATGCAGTCGACATTAATTGCAGGCAGTTATCGCCGCGCGCCTAGCTCAGGAGCTCAGTGTAAGAGTTGACGTCTAGATGGAAGCGCGGACGGGACTCTTAACAGAAGAACTATTGTTACGCCGAAGTCAAAAACGAAAGCGTGTAGCGTGGATAGATCCACTATTGTTATGTTGCTATAGAGAAGGTGATTTTTATGTACAGTACGCGAAATTCAGACGGTATGAAAACAAATTTCACAACTACTTTAGAATGTCGATTGCCACTTTTGAATTTAAATTAAATTATATATTAAATAGGAAATGAAACTATTTTTCCGGATTTAAATCGCGGATAATTGGTTTTTTTAAACAGCACTTTACAGGTCCCATGGTCACAGTTGACTCAACCGTTGAGACAACCGTGACCATGAGACCTGCAAAGAGCCCGAAACGTTGGTTTGTTTGAAAAAACATATATACTCAATTTGAATCCGGAAAAATAGTTTCATTTCCAATGTCTAACAATCGCGAAAACCTAAGAAGTCGATATATTGAAAGCAAAAATAATAATATACGCAAAAAATAATAACATTCCCTCGTGACAATGTCAATTACTACTTTTGATTCTCGGACTATCGTTTAGATCGACGCTTGAAGATGAAGTCTCAACTGCATGCAGTTGAGTTTCGACTGCATGCAGTTAATGCATAATTACGACTTTATGCATTTGCTGCAAAAAATGCAGTCAATATGTTAGCAGCTTAAGAAAATTGTTTGCAGACAAATTGCAATTTTTGATTAGGATTTTAAATCACTACGTATAACAGAAGCTCTTTTATTGTCACCTCGTATATATGTATATAAATTTAAGAATGCTTATTTGTATTCCATTCATAAATTACAAACCTGCAAGTTCTCATTTAGATTCCACATGTCATTGTTAATGGCGATGAAGGCGCGGTTGCCTCGGCAAAAAGCAATCTGGTTACTACTATTGTCCCACCAGTCGTTCAATCCTGCGTCTCCCGCTACGTTCCTGAATCCTACCATGTGGTAGATCTGACGCCAGCGGTGCTGGCACACCCAGCCGTTACCACAAGTTTCATCCTGAAATTTACAAAGCGGTATAAATATATTGGTTAGACTGGAATATGTATTCATCATGACACTGAAAACAAAAATAATAGATGGTAGCGTGTAATACCTACCTACATGTACATACATTCGACCCTTGAAAGGCAAAATGGGATAAGCGATACTTTTTGGTGATATTGAGTTATATATACCGTTGGAATCAGAAACATTAGCTGATTCCAACGGTATATATAATTCAATAATGACCGAAAGTGTCGCTTATCCCATTTTGCCTTATATGTATATATTTTTTAAACATTTCCTGGTAAAAACATGTTGATGGTTAAATATTTTTCTTAAATAAAGGAACTTGTTGAAAGTGCTTAAAAGATAACAGGGCAACAATAACATTTTACAGTGGAATCTCGATAATCCGAAATTATTGCGACCAGACCGTTTTCGGATTAACGAATTAATTAAAATTTTACGGAAATAAATTAATTTGTTACTCCATGAACCTAGTGAAGATTAAATTGTGCAAAATAGGTGCGCTTGTTTTGAATATTTTATTCATGCAGTTGATTTGAATAAAATAAATAATAACACCTGAACAACTACAGTCACAAACACGAAAAATATAACCGACACGTGATTCGCCATTCATCGCTACTATTTTGCACTATTTAATTATCACTGGGTTCGCAAAGAAGCAAATTTTATTTACTTCCATTTTTTATTATAGAATTAAGCGAAATTATTCTTAAAATAAACTTAAATTATTGTTAACTCTTCAGCAATAAATTTAACAGACTTTTCAAACCAAATATATAAATTACACTAAATGTTTTTTCACAAAGTTCACTCATTGGCTAACGAATTTTTTCACCTACAAAGAAGAGTCACTGTGGTTTTATTGCGATTACGGAGATATTTGGATTATCGAAGTTCAGATTATTATTTAGACTCATTGACTTACAAATAAATGGACGACGGGTCTAATACAAAAACCACGAAAAAAATGTCCCAAGTCAACCTATTTAAACGTAGTGACATGTAAAAGAATATGAAAAAGCTAAAACGTTGAATTTAAATTGTAATGTCATCGCAGTACTGTCTAATTTTGCTTGCTTCGCTGTCAGTCGAACAAACGAAGACTAAAAGGCCCATTTAGATGGGGAGAGTTTCTCGCACGCTTCGAGACGAAAACTCGTAGGCGATTCTCGTAAGCAATAATCGCCATAAGATTATCGTATCATAATGTTTACATTCAGGCAAGAACTAAAATCTCGCCTACGATTATGTCATACGAGACTCGTAAGCAACTTAATCGCCTCCTCGACTGTTTACACGGAGAAATATGTAGTAAGGAGATTCTTGCTTACGAGTTTTCGACTTGTCTAAACACGATCTCGTATGACATTTTTTCAAGTTCATACGATTATCGTACAAATCGGTTCGAACCGTTTTGAGTGCGAGAATTGCCATTCGAGTTCAGTGATTACTGCGGTATGACTATGGATATATCAAAATGATGCAAAAACCATTCAAACAACTGCCTCCGTGGCCGAACGGTTACCATGCCGGACTGCCACGCAGAGGTCCCAGGTTCGATTCCCGGGCTGGGAGAAATATTTGTATGGCCTACATTTGTTTCTCTCGTGAGTTTGGGTGTAATTTGTGGTTGTCTATGTGTGTGTCCATGGCACCCGCGACACAGGGTTTCCCTAGTGCGGGGCTATGTTGAGTGTGAGCGTTATTATTATTATTATTATTATTTGAAACCGCTGATAATATTAAGTTCATTGCACTGCATAGAAATATAATTTGAATTATAAAAAATTTTGATTTATCTTTTTTTTTTTAAATTATATAACTACTGACACAAACAAAACTGACAATTATGATAAATTTATAGGGCGAGTGAGTGCGTGTGTGAGTGCGTGAGTTACTGAGTGAGTGAGTGAGTGCGGGCGTGCGTGCGTGCGTGAGTGAGTGAGTGAGTGATGAGTGAGTGAGTGGTGAGTGAGTGAGTGAGTCAGTGAGTGAGTGAGTCAGTGAGTGGTGAGTGAGTGGCTGAGTGAGTGAGTGTGAGTGAGTGGGGGAGGGAGTGAGTGAGTGAGTGAGTGGTGAGTGACTGAGTGAGTGAGTGAGTAGGGAGTGAGTGGGGAGTTAGTGAGGAGTGTTTATTGAAAAGTACATTTACTTGAAAAGTCGTGTCGGCCATCTTGGGTTTAGAAATAAATGCTATGTTCGTAATGAGCACCCCCAAATACCTCAAAAACGATACCCAACTTGCCATTATTTGAAAAGTGCGGGCACGACTTTTCATCCTGGATTTAGAAAGGAGTGCCATATTCGTTACGAGAGCACCCTAAATACTATATTGCCCACGCTATATTCGACCACAGAGGCACTCACTCACTCACTCACCGTTATTTGAAATTTTTTTTTTCGCTCTCGTTCGATTAATTCTTTTCTTAGAAAAGCAGTGATAATCAAAACACCCTCGCGCACTGCACTCGTGGTAGAAACGGCTGGTACAGAAACTCGTAATACGATTTTTGCTTTCGAGTTCTGTTTACACGGAGACGTTCAATATTGAAAGGCGAGGAGATTATCGCTCACGGGACGGTCGTAAAATCGCGAATGTTTAGACGAGGAAAGTTTTTTTATATTCTTTCGATAATCGCATCTTCGAGACGAGAAACTCTCTCCATCTAAATGGGCCTTTAAAGCGTGAATGACGCTCTGTATACGATTTTAACGCCCTATAAGTTCGGACACTTTTTAGCGCGGACCCGACGTCCATATAATTGTAAGTCAATGTTTAGACTCCATTATATTATTTCACCATGTAGCTCTATATTTTGCAACTCACCGAATTGATAGCGGGGGATATGATATTACCATTGCTGTCCATTGGAGGCCCAACTTCACTATCCCAAAAAACGAAACTGCTCATAATCTGTGGTTCTCCGTAAGGATGCGCGAGAAGAAATGCAATGGCACCTCTATACGGCCTGGGTTCTTTATAGTTCAAGATATCGCCTCCTCCGCCTAGAGTTCTTTCATTATCGTGATTGTCAATGAAGATGATTGCGTCACCATGTGCCATCAGACCCCATTCAGGTCCCCAAGTGCGTAGCCACCTGAGCTGATCGCGCCCTCTGAAGCAGTTAGTCAAGTCCCTTCCAGCTAAAAACTCTGTAACTGCTGCTATTGGAGTATATTCGTCTCTAGTTATGATGTTACCACCATAGTCAGTTACTTCTTGATAGATGTAAGGTCGAGCGTTAGGGGGGAATCCGTGGTCGGTGTTCAAGTTGTGGAGACGATTGTAAATTACACGAAGGTCTTCTGGCCACATGAATGTTGCTGCGTCAATCCTATTTATTAAAAATAATTAAACTCATTATAAAAGCCGAAAAACCTGTTGATTACTGTTTCGGTCTGTCGACATGTCGGTCAGTAGGTATAGTGGTTATACGAGCTGCTTGTCTCGTACAGTAATATGTCAGAATATGTCACGTGATATCAGCGAGATGGTGCAAGGATATGTCAAAGATGCTGTAGAAATAATACTCGACCGATACCACGGAGTGACTTTATTGTACTGAACATTATAATTTATACATTTGCCCAATGTAGGGTGCGACGTTGCACATTGTCAGTTGCACAATAATTACGTTGACCATTGATGTACGTAATGTACGTTGACACATTCATCTATGCTGATATTCATTGCGGATGTTCGTGTCCTGACATGACCTAAAAGGCTAGCTGGAATAATTTACAAACCTTCCAGAAACAGACTGTAAACTGAAAAAAGCAGCGCAACTGTTGTTTTTAACATATAACTTCGATAAAAAACCACAACGAGCTAGGTAGATTGATTGTTTTCATGAAGGTCGATTCTTTTGTTGATAAATGTCACAAAATCATGAATATTAGACAACATCAAATACGTTGCTCTGATCCCAAAGTAAGTAGCTAAAGCATTTCGACCCCTCCTACGTAAATCGTATGTCGAAATTGCCAAGTTTACAGGGGAGCGTTTTAAACTTCTGAATTCACTGAATCAAGCATAATACGTGACTTTAGCATTTCTCAGTTTTATTCGGCAAAGCTCGTTACTCACATAGAGTATTATAAAATTCTAGATATCGGTTAGATGATCTATTAGATGAATACTTTGTGACGGTGTAACCTCCTTATACCGTCATCCCACCTTTTTGTATCGCCTCTCTTCATTCGTATCGTATCGTTTTTTCTTCTTCTACTCATGTTTAAATTTAAAATTGTTCCATTTTACCTCGCATTCTGTTTTTGTTTCTTTCCATCGTCACTCTCTGCGCGACTGCGGTAGATTTATACAGTTTACATTTTAAAGATTATATTTGTTAAAACCGATTAAATAAACCGATTAAATATCTATAACTGGACTTTCAACGTTTGAATTGCTAAATTTACTAAATAAGATGTTGGAGGCTGCGAGGCTGCGGAGGCTATTACTGCTATCCAGGCTACACACTATTACAATCCACCTCTGTGTACCGTCTAGGCTCTCGGGTATCTCTCAGAGAAAAGTTTAAGGAGACTGGTATCATGACTGTACATTTACTCGAATATTTTATATGCCCGTAAAAATATACATAATTTCAATAAGAAAGAAGATATCCATAATATTAACCTTAGAGCTAAGTCCAAACTCATATTACCACGATTTCGTTTAACCAAGGTAAACAACTCTTTTATGGGGAATTGTATACGTTTTTATAATAAGATTCCGGAGCATATATTAAGTTTATCATTTCCTAAGTTTAAAAACTACATTAAAAATATTTTGATCGAAAAATCATATTACAAAATTGAAGACTACGTGTTAGATAAAGATGTATGGAAAGACGACATGGCTCCAGAATCCACACAAATTTGATTCAAAGTGTATTCCATAGCATTTAAGTTTATTTGAAAAGAGCAATCCCTAGAGTTTCTTGCTCGTTCTTCTCAGGGATGTCAGCGTAGTGAACGAGCAGTAGCTTAAATGTGACGTTTTCAAGTGTAAATTTATTTTACCTATGGAATAAATAATCTTTGACTTTGACTTTGACACCAGAACGCCCCCAGCACCAGCAACACCTTCACAACTCTATGTGAGTAACGAGTGAATTCAGAATTTTAAAACGCTCCCCCGTAAACAGGGTAATTTCGACATACGATCCTTTACGTATGAGGGGTCGATTTGTGTTATGGAAATCGGAACCCGAGACAATACAAACAAAGGAAAGTTAGTTTCTACACTGACCTAACCGGGATTCGAACCCGAGACTTCAGACCATGAAAACCGGTGTGCAACTCGGAGGCCGTCAAATCATTGAAATAATATTTTATTACAATATCAAAGAAAATCTTTTTGATGGGACGAACAACGTCTGGTGGAAAGCGACACGGCTGTCCACAACAGTTGCAGTGGCACTCAGACCTTTAAATCGCAAGGATTTAAGGGGACTCCCACTGCGCCCGTCACTCTGAGACAAGTTAACAAGTCCCATGTGCCTGTAATTTCACCAGCATTCTTAGGGCCGTATTCCAGAACTCTACTCAATGCTCAAGTCAGGATCTGAGTATGATTTCAAGCACTGGAAATACGACCCTAATGGCAGGGACTTGAGTATGATTTCGAGTGCTTTAAACCATACTCAAATCCTGCTTGAGCATTGAGTAGAGTTCTAGAATACGACACTTAGATTCAATTTATATTGCGGCGGAACGAAATGGAAGCGAATTTTTCTAACGATATTGTACGTAGCATAATGAACTTTACGGTCAATTGTGTAACGTGCAAACTAGATACGAGCCAAAATCTTCTGCGAAATTCTCGCGCATATTCGAGAATGCTCGCGCGTTCCGCGGAAGATTTTGGCTCGTATATTGTTACAAAAATTCGCTTCCATTCCGTTCCACCGCAATATAAATTGAGCCTTACTCTTTAATACCGGAACGCAGTAATGCTTACATTACTGCTTGGCGGAAGTAATAGGTAAGGTGGCAGTATTTCCTGGACGAACTCTTTCACAAGGAGATCTGCTACTATTTTTTTTAAAACTACTTGGTTTTTACTAGGGTATTATCATATGGCTAAGTTACCTGAAACCAGCAACTCCCAAATCAATGAGTTTGTTCATAAAGTCGACAATCATTTGTCTCACGTGTTCATTTGCCTGGTTTAAATCTTTCAATCCTATAAATTCACAATTGCGGATCTAAAACAATATAATAATATTAATATGATGTAATATTTGGATATGTTTTTTTTTAAATTATATTAAAGTTTACAATAGTCATCTCACAACCATATAACCGTGCCACTGCTGGGCACGGGTCTCTTCTTAGAGGAGAGATAGATAGATAAATATACGCTGTATTGCTCACACACAAGAGAAAGAACAGTACATAAACTAGTAACTTAAATTAGAATTTATGAGCAAACTCCGTCTTATCGCTAAGAGTGATCTTTTCCAGGCAACCTTTGAGACAGGGGAAAACTAAACAATTGGGAGGCGTAGTGTACCAATGATAAAATTATAAATGCATTAGTAAAAACCTATATTATATTATTATCAAAATTAAATAGAGAGAGTATGCGAGAGAATTGCACGTATTAATTCCGCCTTCCCTTTTCCATTATACACGGTAAAAACAGATTACTTAGAAAAAGATAAAATTCTTTTTATGAAGACAAATTTATTAAATCCAACAAAACGATCCTCTCCCTGTAGACGCTAGAGAATAATTACTTGATAATAGTAAAAAAACGTCTCAAAAGTGTATTTTAGTTACAAGACAGAAATATTTAATCCAAGAGCAAATTAATTTACTTCAAGTCACAAAGCCACTCTAGATTCAACAAAATATTTATTTGTTATTAGAAATGTCCGATTTCGATTCGAAAAAAAAAAAGAATGAAAAATTGAGAGGTACCTACTTAATTATTTGACTGAAGATTTGTGTTTTCTAATTTCAAAAAGGGTATGGACCCAACAGTATGTCTCACTAGCGTGAAAGCACACAGTTCAGTGTCAAACCTTAAAGTAGCAGAAATAGGACGGAATCTTCTCAAATACTTGAGGACCATTCAGTGCCGTATAAATGCTACATCGGCAGAAAGCATTAACAATTCTAAATATATGAGATGACTTTATACTATTGAAGTTAACAAAACGATAGCGCGTTTCAGAGTACAACTAATGCCATCTAGACACGTCACGACAACATTGACTATGAAAACGCAACGAAATATTGCTTTAAGAATATACTCTAGAATTTAGAATGTTAATCTTAATAGAAAACTTCTTCTTTTTTTGTTTAAGAATATATTTTCTTAAAATACACCCAAGAAATTTTGAATTCATTTAAGATTATTTAAATTTGATGTAAGAGGTAAAAATTTCTTGATGTAAGTAATGTCCAATGAATTGATTAAAGATGAAATAAAATTTTGAAGGGAACGTATTTGTCTCAAAGTTAGAATAAAGTTAAGAGTAAAATTGTATTAGAAAAAGATATACAGTATTTTTGTGATGACAATATTTTATTACTTTTAATAAATATTTTTTCAGAATTAGCAAATATTGTGAGAAATTGCTCTTTCTTATTAGTAGAAATCCTTTTTTTCTGTGTAGAAGGACCAGGTGTAGGCTGGGGTTCCACCCCTGTGTTGTGGATATTCCAAGAGTTCGCACGAAGCGTTACGCTTCCACATTTATATGGCGAACGGCTATGGAGCGGAATTCCCTGTATGCAGACTTGTTCCCTGAACGTTATACCTTTAACCTTTTCTAGGCGAGAGCGAATAGGCATTATTTAGATGCGCATGCTCCATTGTCGACTTCGTGCGTCACTTTCCATCAGGTGAGATGGAAGTCAAATGCGCAAATTTAGTAAATAATAATATATAACCATATAGTATATTTATATACATACGTATATATTTTAATTAACTTTAATCAAATAAAGAAAGAGTTAAGCGACAGTCCGCCTCTGGCCCGAATAAGTTTGGTTTTTAATTAAGTTTCAGTTTTGAAATTGAATTTAGAACAGGACGCAAAACTGACACATGCTTCCCTGAATAATTTTGTCGAAATGGCGCTTTCGCCCTTTCTACAAAACACGGTATTATTATTATGGATATCCATTTTAGATTCCCGCATCTCATTGCCTAAAATATCAAATTATTCTTATTCTTATTATACTTCCGAGAAAGCAGTCTCATTTTCAATGTGCAGCAGTCGCGAAAAACTTAAGAGCTCGATATATTTAACAAATTGGCATATTTATCATCAGTAACCAATTAATAAATAATGCTCACACTCGCACACACTCATAGCCCCGCATTAATGAAACCCTGTATCGCGGATGCTATGGACACATGCATAGACAACCACAAATTACATCCAAACTCACGAGAGAAATAAATATAGGCCATACAAATATTTCTCCCGGCCCGGGAATCGAAACCAGAACTTCTGCGTGGCAGACCAGCATGGTAATCAATAAATAGTTAAACAGATAAGTTGAAGTACACTTATGTATGGTAGTAAATGTTGGGTTTAGCAGATGATACACGAAAACAGAATTAACGCAGTAAAAATGAGAGCTTTGACAAGTATGGATGGACTGACTGATGGATCAATTACGGAACAGAGTGACAAGAGAGCGTTGCGGCGTGGAAAAAGATGTAGTGGCAAAGATAGAGGAAGGGATGCTTAGATGGTTCGGACATGGAGAGAGTATGAATGAAAGAAGATTAACGAAACAGATTTATAAGGCGAGTGTGAGCAGGCAAGTTGGTACGGGCCGACAAGGCGATCTTACCATGACCAATTTGGGGCCATCCTAAAGAAGGGCCAGGTCATTAGTACCTTTAACACGTTCATCGCCTTGGTGGGTCAAAATGACCGGCATATCATCTACCTATTGGGGCCTTGGGGGTTAAAATGACCGACACGGGGCGCATCTAACTTTGCGATGCTCGTTCACGCCGCAGGTGGCAAACGCTACGTATTTAGACATATAACATGACCGGCGTGGCCCAGATGAATTTCTGTTGCCACTTGAGTTTTAGAATTTTCGATGGCATACACACTTTTCTAGACTAAGAGGAAAAAGTATATGTATGTTTCGAATAAAAAAAATACTTTAATTTCAAATTGGATTCAAAAGTTACAAAATAAGCAAAAAAATGGTTAATGTGAAATGTCAGTCTCAAATGAAAGACGTACATCAGTTTTAGGTAAACATCGATCGAACATTACGTGTACATACTCTGCCCGGCATTGCGACAGGCGCGGACTAAACGTAATAATTACTGCGTTCAGGCCGCGCCGGGTTAAAATGCCCGGCACTAAATAGAATCCCAAACTAGAGCCTAATAATGAAATATCGCGAAAAAATGAATATACGTATACAAATGAGACCAAAAACAGTCATATAAGCCAATGTCATATTTTGAACATTTTTGAAAATTCTAGTCGCCGACGAACATGTTAACCGACGAGCGTGTATGAAGGCACGGATGCGTGTTGATAAGACGAAAGATGTGTGTCAGGACCGTAGCAAGTGGAAGATTGTTGTCTCTGCCTACCCCGATGGGAAAATGCGTGAAGTATATGAGTTGAAAAATAAATTGAAATGAAGACACCAGGAAATCATATTTACGTTGGCAGCGTTCTGAGTCCAGTCACTGTCGGCAATGGAGCACACAGGATAGTTGAAGTGCTCCCTCCAGTACGGCACGGCTGGGTAATACCACTGGTTAAATACCGCAGTACTACCCGCGGTACCTACATTCGATGGAGGCTCACCCGTCATGTGGTTTATTACGGCATCCACGTATATTCTGAAAGATAATGCTAATTATTACAATGTCCCACCTACCTGCGCGGATTAGTGCACGTTTCCATTATGTCGTAACGTTTTATTTATCGTTGGACGACAGTCGCGTCTATCCTGTTCCCACTAGACCGTGACCACAATTTATCGATTCACGACAACTGATTTGTCGTTTGCACGACATAATCGTTTGATGCTACTATTATCTGTAGTCATATTTTTATTGTCATGTTTTATTTTTTGTCCGACGACTGTCGTTCTAGTTCTTCCCATTGTCGTCACAGTCTGTCGTCGTGACGTCAAGAAAGTCGTGAACGAAAGTTAATCATGTTGTACTATATGATAACGACTTTATTTAAATATACACGCCACGACACTTTAAATTGCACGACTATCGCGATGTAATGATAACTCCTTACTCAACAAAACAAAGAGATAAAATAAAATAGGCAAACCGATACAATTACACACATGTAGGTATGTGCAACAACGAAACTAAAAACAACATAACGCTGCACCGTCCGTATCCCAAACAATGCAACAATCCACACAGCCACCTCGCTGCGTTCGGGAGTGGTCGTGTTCTCCATGGAGTGATATTATTCTGTGGTCGTGTTACGTAATAAATATTTATGTATGGAGTCTAAATAAACCAGAGAAGTGTCAAAAAATAAGTAACGATTGGCCAATCCATCAGTGGACCAACACGCAAACTTCTCATCCAGTATTTCTTGTGGGTTATTAACGCGCAATCGGCTTGAGTTGGTTAGAAAACGCTTTATGTCAGTGTAAAAAACACCTCTTTGACAAGAACATTTACACTAGGTCGATAAGCCGCCTTCGCATGCAACCTACACAGTGTCGTTTGACAACCCTATTCGCTGCTGTAGGGCTAGCACGACAGGATGCGACTTGCGTGAGAGATACATAAAGCGCAAGATCTCTATGTACGACTAGCAGTATCTTGCGCTTTATGTCGCTCTCAAGTCGCGCTTTGTCGTGCTAGCTCTGCTGAAGTCGACCGAGTCGACTAGTCACTGTTCAGTAAGCGACGATCGATCGAATAAGTTTCATCATGTGGAGGGCCGCATTCCACAACAGTGCACGTGTTGGGGACCGGGGAATATCTACTTATTCGATCTGTTTGTTGAACAATTCGAACGATTTGTTGTGTCTATGTATAAAACTGTATTTGCAAGCACGTGATTTCGGTTTTGGTGTTTTCGGCGAAAGCGGCACTCGACTCGGTGTACACAGTGCGTCGACAGCGCTGCGTTCGTGAGCAGAATTCGCTGGCGACAAGGCGGCAGTCGACTCTGTGTAAACAGCGAACCGACTATGGCAAGGCGAAGTAATCTGTTAAGGTGGTAACGCGTTAACTTTCCTGATAGTACATTCCCACCTACATTATCCTTACAATTACCTTACTCCAGCGTTATTGCATCGTCGAATCATATTAGCTAACTGTTGTTCGTCTCCTGAGCGAGTCACTAATTTGTATGACATCGGCTGGTAGCGCTCCCACCACGGACGGTTATACTCCCATAATACCACGTTTTCGTTAGGGGGGGAAATCTGCAATAATTCTTGGATATTAAACAAGACCTTTTAGGGCAAGTGCAAACGCGGACGGCGAAGGAAACTATCGAAGAGTTTTTCATACCCGCCAATGCACACTGATGAGGGATATCCCCCTATGATACAGCCAGCGTCCGCCGGCGTACGCTGAGTCCGCTGGAATGTCACAGAATTCACCGGTATGCCACTGCTGGCTCGGATTTGATTTCGTTCCACTAGCGGCTACGCAGTCGAAAAGTCCCCGGCGTATTCAAGCAAACCCCGGCACATACCGGTCGATCTCGGCGCATGCCGGTGGATTCTGTCACATGCCATCGCATACCGCCGCGGTATCTTCTAGCGTGCGCTTCAATGCCGCAAAGAGAAATGCACCGCGGTGCTTTGACTTCGGTATCAGAGCATTGGAATTTATACCTTATGCGTTCTTACGAAATCCTACTGTTTATTTCGTTGTAATATAAATTCATTTATATTTTCATGGTATTTAGGTAAATACTTGTATGCACAATTAAGAGGAAGTACTTCTTGTGTGATACTATTTAAGTAAATTGTTCTATTAATTCCAGTCACCTGTATCCCTCCAAAGCCTTTTGGTCCTAGGAATCTCTCGCATTCGGCAGCAATATCATCCCACTTCCATTCAAAGAGATGCACGTTCACCGAGTGGCCGGCAACATAGTACGGATTTTTATACGCCTCGGCTATCGTCAAAAGCGCTAATCCCATTATTATTAAGCTTAATTTCCTCTGAAAACATGGTTAAACTTATTCAAATTTGGGATATGTGAAAGTTTTGCTACTTGATGGCACTAGTGGTTGATTTTTTTTACACAAATCTTCGTTTATTTATTATGTGCTTATTGTTCTTACCATGCTTGAAGACAGAACGACGTCGCAGGGAACAATGATTACAATTATGGATATATCGCATAATATTGCTATATGTAAATACGTTATCAAACAACACAAGATCAAATCTTATATATATCAGTGATATCGATGATAAAAATATGATAATCAAAGGAACTCGGCTGGCCTACAACATCCTAATTTATTTAGCTTTGATATTATTATTGTTACAAAGTTAAAAACATCTATCTACATGGAGTTTCTACAAAATCTATTTAAGAGCCAGGCTCTTGTCGATGTAGCCTCCTGCGCTACTAACGGTACATAGACAGCTCTTTGACCTCTTTATAGGTGCTAACTTTGATGTTCTTCTTTATTTGTTCAATGTACGCCATTCTTAATGTTTTAATTTAATATTCTTTAACTTTCAAAACTAGTAATGCTGTGTCAGTCGCTAAGTATTGGTCCTCACAAATGAGGCTAACAGAGCAAAAATGGTTTAAGCTATATTTAATTTTTTTTTTCTACACTATTACTTTATACTTTGTTATTATATAATATTTGGATGCCATTTTCATGTGTTAATGTAATTTCATAATTATAATATATTAGTGTAAAACTCCAATAATGTTCAAAGAACATTTTTAATCGCTGAACATTGAAATTATTACATAATTGTTCTGTTACACATCAGTTTATAATAAAAAAGCGACGCGACCTAGCGTCTCCGCCATCTTGTGGTACGAAGCGCGGGAGGCGAGGAGGCGGTGTGGTGTACGGCCAGTGCCGACAGAAGCCGAGCGCGGAAAAATTTTACTAACTTCGAGTGCGGGTTATTACGGTATTATATCAGTCATATACGATTACTTTTTTTTATTATTTAATTATTACAAAAACATTAACACGGTTTTACTTTACACTCTTAAACCTAAACAGAATTGTATGAGTTTTGCAACTCCTCGAACATAATATATAAAATAACAATGTTATTAAACCTAAACAATGTACTGAAAAAAAAATATTATAAAGATATTAACAACCACTGATTTGCCGCCGCAACAGAGCGCGCGCTGTTGCAAGGAAACCAGTTCTACTCTCAGCACTATACGCGCGCATACAGGCTGTTCGAAATCAACATATAATGTGCCACTACTACGCATGGATTACTTATAAGAAAAAGAAAAACGAAGATACTAAATTTATAGTATAAATATTATTATTATGTTATATATGTATAAGTAGATTATAAAAATTACATTACTATACAATTAATTTGGGTAATTTTAAATCCCTCATTCTCATACCTTCATTTTCTATATGCAATGCACGGGGTTACACCTCCTTTGCGCTGATAGCCACAAATATAACAGTCAGAGTCGACACGCTAAGAACAATTGGGCTTAAATTATGCCATTCCTTGTACAATTCCAGGGTCGAACCAACCAATCAAAAGTAGCGACAACACTCGAAATGGAAGGCTCAGAAAATCCGACCCTCCTAAATGTCAAGACCGACCCTACGTTGTTCTGCACCGCGTACAAGAAAAACCGGTTCTACATGTTCAGCAAGCGCAGTCCCGATGATATAAAGAGCCCGGACGCCGACCGTGACATCTTCAATGAGAAGCCCAGCAAAGAGGACATCATTTCTGCTACTGAGGGACAGGGTAGGTTTCATTACACGTATGTAAAAAATATACGCTGTTTGTGTTCTTAATCTCACTCACTTATTTTAGAAGTATTATGTTATTTAAATATTTTTATTTTATTTAGTATTTTTTATTTAATTTTTTTATTCGTTCCCAAAACTGGATACAATTCTAAAGAAGAATGTACCCTATTTGATGTGAGTACAATAATCAAATTTCATTAACAAAAAGTGCATAATTGACAGTAATTAAATACAGTAATTAGATCTAATAACTTGAGAAAATATGTACTAAAAGTGAATAATAAAAAATCATATTACGGCTACACTAAGAAGTATTGTAATATACAAAAGGATTTGAACGACTACTGCAATTTGGTATATTTGCAACACTTAAATTTCGTTATCTAACCTTTGTGACATTGAACAATTAACTTTTAGTAATTGTGCAAACGTTTATTATTCTTTAAGGAATTTCTTCCTTAACCAACCTTTGTGACTTTGAACAATTTATTTTTACTAATTGTGCAAACTAGAGCTGAAACGGATAGTGATTTGGCGGGCACCTAGGCCGGATAGCCGGATATCCGGCCACCGGATATCTGGGCCCCCTGCCTTAAACATGTCGCGACCGGTTTACAGCGCGCATTGATTAGTGAATGATTGCACTTTCACATTGACGATTTGTTGTGGTGTGGTGGTGGTTAATTTATTCGGTAATACAAACAAATACAAAACAGAAAAATGTTAACAGTAAAAAAATCGCAAATTGGGCATTATTTTAACATCAGTGCTGTTTGTTTGTTGTTGTGCCGAATGAAATTTCACGCGGCGGAGAAGGAAAAAAGCAATTACATAATTCTTTGACTATATTAAAATTTCTAGTTGTTACAAATATAAGCCTAGCACTTGATATACCCCTTATTATTTTGTTTCAATTTGATTTCATTAATTTGTTTGTGATCTAACTAATTCTAAGTCTAGATACCAGATTTGCAAAACAAAAAATCATCTACTTACACGTTTATTATTGTAGGTACACATTGTATTTGAAGACAGGTGAAATCGATCGTGATCGCGATCCTTTCATTTGATCGACTAGCAATAACAAGTAGTACTTAAAATTTAACAAACGTTGAAAGAGTTTATAGTGAAAAACTGTCCTCTGAAGCTGGTCCCGTTTTTATGAAAATAAATAGTACGAACTTTTACCAGTTAATGCAGAACAACTGGTCTCTTCATCCACCATAATTTGCCTTAATTGATATTCAGTTTCAAGTAATACATTGATAACGGATTGTCAACGATCCTGTAGTTGCTGTTTATCGTATTACTACCATCTTTAATCAATAAATCAACTTATTTGGCATACTGATTATAGATTTTTGTCAGTTTTAAGTATCCGGTCGGATAATGTTCTACTATCCGGTATCCGGTCGGATATTAAAAATAGGTCAGATACCGGATAGTTACCGGATATCCATCCGTTTCATCTCTAGTGCAAACGTCTATTATTTCTTCAGGAATTTCTTCCTTAACTCACTTTTGTGACATTGAACAATTAACTTGTAGTAAATGTGCAAACATCTATTATTTCTTCCTTAACTAACCTTTGTTTTTTTTTAATTGTGCAAATGTTTATTATTTCTTCAGGAATTTCTTCCTTGGCTAAACTTTGTGACGTTCAACAACTAACTTTTACTAATTGTGCAAACGTTTATTTCTTCAGGAGTCCAAAGAATATACGAACAAGTGATAATCCACACATCGTTAGGCGACATCCACATTCGCATCTTCGGCAAGGACGTACCGAAGACGGCCGAGAACTTTTGCGTGCACGCAAGAAACGGGTACTACAACGGGCACATATTCCACCGCGTCATTAAAGGGTTCATGATACAGACTGGCGATCCCACTGGTGAGTTTTTTAAGTGATAGTACCCTTATAAGTAGTGAGCTGATAACACTTCCATCTTCTTTTTTACCGGCTCATCTTAGGACCTGGCAGAATCATCAGCGTCGTAGCTCGACTGAACTGCGGCATAATGCACTCAATGTTCTTGCAGGCACCGGCACTGGCGGCGAAAGCATCTGGGGCGGCGAGTTCGCGGACGAGTTCCGTCCGGCGCTGAAGCACGATCGGCCCTACACGCTCAGCATGGCCAACGCCGGACCCAACACCAATGGCAGCCAGTTCTTCATCACTTTGGCGCCTACGGTACGTACCATTTTCACTTTATGGTGACACTACACTTATCGATAAGGAATCGCAATAAGCCGGCCAGATAAAACTTGGTGACCGTTTTAATAAGAAGGAAAAGGACGTTATGCGTTTCGGCGGGCGGTTCGAGTGAAAACGAAATGGGCATCTTCTTTTTTTTATAATACTAAATGACGTGACGAACAAGTCGTGCGCCTGGTGGTAAACGACACGCCTGCCCTTGTAAACATGTACAGTGCCGCTCAGAACTTTAAATTGCAAATTTTTTTTTCTTGTGAAAGAGTTCTTCTAGGGAAGTACTACCTTATCTATTTCTGCCGTCAAGCAGTAATGTTAGCACTGCTGCGTTCCAGTTTTGGAGGGTAAGAGTGCTGGTGAAGTTACAGGCACACGAGACTTGTCAACTTATTTCTCTGGGCAACAGGCGGAGTGGCAGTGTCCTTCAGATCTTTGCCATTTAAAGCTCTAAGTGCCACTGCGTATCATTTAACGAGGACTCCAGGTGCCTACCGCTGAGTAGCCTACTAATCGTCGACAGTGCAAGGACAAGTCTTTAATTTACATTACAATCCTTGTACAACCCCAGCATTCGGTTCCGCACGACTGCGGGCCCTCTCTGAGCGCGTTGTAGATTCCTTTTTTCCTCATAGTCAGCGCCTGGTGTTTTAGTCAGATTTAGTACGCTATTACACTCTAGGTATTTTCGATTTTGTTTGAGAGTGATGTATTAGTTACGTAGGAACTATTCAGTAATTTGTGGTTTAATATTAGGCGTACGATTTGTTTGTCGCTTTGCTTGGTCTCATACATAAAAAAGATTCTATGATTATACCCGTTGTGTGCAACACACTCGACATATGGGGCACTAGATGATCACGATAGGACCTATTTCGGATAACTTTTCCAAATGGGTTTTGGTCTGGGTGTTTTAGATACTTTCGTTGTTCTTGTACATAGTACAAGGAATAGTAGTCTGCTTTTTTTGAGACGGAATAAAAGGAAATTTACAAGGTTGCCAGTTTTCATAAAATTTGAAATGGTCATGTAGTTGTTGCCGACAATCTTATCGAACAGATTGTGATAGGTTTTTTTTTCAAAAAACGTCTGTATTATTAACGTTTAGACGTTCTAGTAATTACTAATTGCGTTATTGCCTTCTTTAATCTTATTTTGACAATTGGCTTAGTAGTATCGAAATATTTTTTTATTCCAAACATTTTAATAAGAATGTGATTGTGAATTAAAATTAAAATCTTTACAATATGTCTCGTCTTTGTATTGTCAATAGACAGTTCTGAATGCAGTGTATAATTCAATGAACCTATGCCCAGTTGAACGTATAATGGAAACAAGTTCGGGTATTTATTGCATAAGCGTGACCAACATTAAGTCGATAGTCGATAGTATATTTATCGACAGCAATCACTAGCTACTTCCAAGCGGGCAACACTTTTGTGCAATGAACTGCCATTTTATTCCATTTTTAACCGATTTCAAAAAGGAGGAGGTTCTCAATTCAACTGTGTTTTTATGTATGTTACGCGATAACTCCGGATAATTTGTGAACCGATTTTCATGACTCTTTTTTGTTGGAATGAGAGTACCTCAGATGTGGGCCAAAATATTCCACCTCTATGGATGGCAAACTAGGGGATGCATGACTTTTAAGGTCGGTTTTTTTAGTACACTGTACTGATTAAAAAAGACAGACTATACCTTCTTTGAGAACCAGTAATTGATGTGGTTGTCTTGCACATTATTATTATGTGTTCCGAGCTCCCGAAAACGCTGATGATATGCGCTAAATCGGTCATTGTTTATGTTATTGAGTCATAATCCAGCATTGTGACATGTTTTTTTTCTTAGGAAATGAAACTATTTTTCCGGATTTAAATCGCGTATATTTGTTTTTTCAAACAAACCGACGTTTCGCGCCCTTTACAGGTCCCATGGTCACGGTTGACTGAGGCGGTACAGTCTTCAACCAGTTATGTCTAATATTGATGCAAACCACCCTACTTTTTCACTATAGTTACAATAGTTATTAATTAAATACCTTATTTTTAATTTTACAAAGAAACATTCCAATTTACGCTACATTAAGTTTTACAAATTATTTTATTGAATGAATTTTTATTAAGTTCAATGTATTATTAGTTAATAATAGAAATTAGAATAAACTAAAACATATTAATTAGTACTGCAGTCTTATATCTGTTTGGGATTTTTCATTAGAGGAAATACTGGATCCCAAACTGGTGTTACGGAGAAACCATCTTCCCTGTTGAAATTAGGATGTTTTTTAATTTCAATGTCCTTTCGCAGCATCCTGGGTAGATAACGGACTTCTTTTGCAAGGACCTGGGGTTTGTCAAACTTCATTGAATGTGTAGGTTTATCCATGACATGCTCGCAGACTGCAGACTTTTTTACGCGACGGTGTTTGACATCAGCTATATGTTCTTTGACGCGGGTACAAATACTTCACTTTGTTTGTCCAATATAAGAGAGACCGCACTCACAGTCAAGCTTGTTTTTTTCTTGTTACTCCACTTTGAATAAAGGCTAAAATACACATGCTTGGCGCAGACATGCTGTTTACACGTACACACCTGTGTAATTAGGATTTATTGTCATATTGCATGCCTTATTTTCTCTTGTCTGCGCTTTATTTAATTTCAATTCAACTACGAATGTTTATGAGAATATTGATGTTGGTAGTTGCATTTTCTTTGTATTTTTTTGTTTTATTTATACATTTATTTGGTGATTGTTTCGGTAAAAATTGAGAGACTGTGTCCCGACTAAATCTGAAAGATGTTGTTGCACACATGGAAACTTCCACTTTTTATTTGACAATGAATCTTATAAAGACTGTTTTTCTAAAAAAATTTTAATTTTGTTTATAAATTCATTCATTTCAAACATCGTTATGTTTTGATACTGTGTTCCATTTTTTATTTTACCTATATTAATAATTATTGTTTATGATGATAATGTCGTGATATTATATTTTGAATTGTAATATTGTGATAAAATGTCATAAATTATTATATTTTATTATATTCATCATTATTTTTTTCATCATTATCATTATTTACAAAATTAAAAGTGTTGCACTTCAAAAATATATATGTTGTTAATTATGCTATAATAATTAAGAATACAAGAAAAACACCGTTCTATTTGACCGGACTCGAACTTGCATCTGTATGCTAAACTAGAACATGTAATTAAATAAAAAACTAGTGGAGTAATTTTACAAAAAATAAATGAATATCATGGCAGTAACACATAATCATATTCAATAAAAATCAATGCACACACTTAACAACAGAAAATTTTGATCCCAAACAATTTTTTTAATGCAATTTATACGGAAAAACAAAGACGCATTATGCATTCCATAATTTTTCTATTTTTTTTTTTTTTTTTTTTATAACGCACACATTCGACATAGCCCCGCACTAGGGAAACCCTGTGTCGCGGGTGCCATGGACACACACATAGACAACCACAAATTACACCCAAACTCACGAGAGAAATAAATGTAAGCCATACAAACATTTCTCCCGGCCCGGGAATCGAACCTGGGACCTCTGCGTGGCAGTCCGGCATGGTAACCGTTCGGCCACGGTGGCAGTTATTATTGAGGGCGTAATGCGTATTGAAATAGTATAATAATAAAGAAACTCTTGAAATGTGCTTTGTAGTCCTAAATACAAATTTTTTTCATCACACTTGCTCGTAAATGGTATGATTGCATGGTGCCTAATTTGACTATAATGCCCCAAATAAAACCCACGGGCCTTTTCTTTCCATCACAGCCGTGGTCGGTAGGAGCTTTAATTTGTGGCACTACATATTTCCCTAGATAGGTCAGGTTGAACTTGAGTTCAAGCAAGGATGTTACAAAGTTCAAAATTAAAACTTTCGTTGAAAATGTTATCTAAACAGAAATTTAATTGCAATCCAGCCGCATAGCACTTAAATACTTATTATTAAGATTTTTTTATAATTAATTTTAATTATACTTTGTCTAAAAATTTAGCAATTTTTTTACTTTTTACCACATTTTAGATCGAGTTGTATTATCTATGGAAGAACTATAAAACAAAAAACCCGCCATTTGCCAAACCCATAATTTATTTATTTATTTATTTAAACACTTTATTGTACCACAAAGTAACTTACAAATTTTCAGAAACAATTTAAATATTTGTGTACAAAGGCGAGCTTATCCCATAAAGAGATTTCTTCCAACTAACCTTTGAAAAATCTGAGAGGAAAGTTGGTTTTTGGGGTGGCACTAAAAACAGATAAGTAAAGAAATGGAATATACTATACTCAATAAATATACAGATAAATTTAATAAATCAAATGTACATACGAATACATATATATTAAGTAATATTGATACATTAATACATACAAACTCTATAATAAAACTATAAATAAATATATCAAATGTAAATAAATATTTCAAAAGCTCTAACATGTGGAGTCTGAACAATCCCAAAACTTCAAAAGAGCACCCTTGAAAACCCGAATCGAGAGCGACTGTCTGACCTCGACCGGGAGAAGGTTCCACATACGGGCAGCATTTACCGTGAACGAGTTCGAATATTTTTGGGAACTGTGTTGTGGAAGGACGAGGGACAAATTGGTGCCAGAACGCAGGCGGTCACCCATAGCCTGGCGGTATTGAAAACGCTCACGTAGATAGCTAGGTGAAGTGGGATGGAACAGGATTTTATAGAGGAAGCATAAAATGTGAGCATTTCTACGTAAACAAATAGGCAACAACTTCAACTCATCTCTAAACTTGGAAATGTGGTCGTACTTTTTCAATCCAAACACAATAAATAATTATTGTTGTATTTATATTTATATTGTATTTATTTCCTCGCATATGTGATGAAAAACATTGTACGTATCACGGACGGTATAAAAATACAAAATTCGAGAAATCCTCCCTCGTTAGTAATTTCTTATTTTACTATTAATTCATTTTCTGTAAATCTTACATATGTCGATATGTCGTGTTGTATTTGCAGCCATGGCTGGACAACAAGCACACGGTGTTCGGGCGCGTGGTGCGCGGCATGGAGGTGGTTCAGAGCATCGGCGCCGTCAAGACCAACCCCAAGACCGACAAACCCTACGAGGACGTGCGCGTCATATCAATCACCGTTAAATAAGAAACTGACTTTGCCAGTGCGCTTCACTACATAGCCTGTGAAAGCGTGTTTTGTATGAAAGCACGTTTGCATCGAGCCTAAGTAGACAGCTAATATCAGTCAAGGATTGACGGCGACCACCTTTGTAGGTGCTAATAAGTAGATAAAACATATTCGTGGTACGCCCATTGATATCGCAGTATATTATTACTGAATTATTATTTTCTTAATGGCGGCCACTTGAATTGGGCAGTGTCAGTTTCGAGGAATGCGGTCAGCTTAGAATAATAACGCATAGAATGATAGTTTCATATCAAACGAACTGTCACAAGTGAGGCAAAAATCAAATTCATGTAGGCTAGTTTTAGTAGTAGGTTAATTTTCGGGTTTAGTTAATATTTATATAAAAATACAAGTTGAAACGCGTTACTTCCTTGTGGAATGTGATGTTAGTATCTATTTTATGTTTGTCTGACGTATTTTTACACTCATTTACCGCACATTACGTCATTTTTAGCTAAAATTCTTGATCTGTTCGCGGTGCAAGTTGACCTTGAGCACTGAAGGCCCGCCCGCTCGTGTAGGCCCTTTTGGCGCGCTTCAATTAGCCTCACTTAGCGTGTGCGGACTAGGTTTCTGTGCGTTATTATTCTAAGGCGGTCAGTTAATTATTATTATTTATTTGTTGAGCATTGGCTATAGACCCATCAGCTTAAACAAGCAACAAACAATTAAGTAACTCAAAACGTAATAATAATTACACTAAAAATTAATTTGTGGAAAAACTGTAACTACAAAAACCCGCCATTTTTTTCCGGTCAGTCAGTCACGAGCAAAAAAAAGTTAATCAACATTATTAACTTTTTTCTGCTCTGTGCAAACATAGCTAAGCGGGAAAGCCTAAAGGTCTTGTAACTAGCCATAAACATTATCAAAAACAGTCTTGGCTGTATGGCGTGTATATTAGTGCTTTTGCCTTTTCCTATCGAAAAAACAGTACCAAAAAAAGCGAAATGACTGAACGTCACTTTGACACATCGCGCAACCGGTAGTAAAATTTTTTCGTTCGTCGGGTAAGGGCATAAACCATACTGCCAGATCTTTTCTTCTCACTCGACGGACCATGATATTATTATTATTATTTATATAATTGAGCCATATGTAGAAAGTCGTCAGCTTATAATTATAGCAAAAAATTAAGTAACTATAAATGTAATGTATTGTAACGATGTAAAAATTGTGATCACAGAAAATCTTTACGGTGTGATACTCGTTTTTTTGCTCTGATGTCACCCTTTCTGACGTATAAAACGTATTTATTGAAAAGTTTTATGTAAGAAATTTCTGACATAAAATTTTATATCTCCTTGCTTTTGTTAAGCACATTTCTCACGCATCGATGGCTTTCTGGAATTTATGAAGTTTGTTTAAAAATCACTGAGACGCGTCTGCCGCGCAAAATTGACATATCCTAGTTTTCGGCATCTCATACACAATATAATTTAGCATTTTCAGAACAAATCTCGCTAATAAAGCAGCGACATGTTTATGTATTGTTACGTGAAAAATCGTAAAGGCGTTTGAGTACTCGTCCCTATGTGTTGTGTAAAGTGTACAAAATTAAATAACGCTATATAGCTCATGTGACTGACTACAATTTAGATAGTCACTCAGGTGTCTTTAAAATGAGAATTAAGGTTCTGACTGAACTCAATCTGTGCTTGGAAACCAGCAAATGGAATTTAATGTAAGACATAATCGTATGTTATGTGTAGTGAGTTGATTTCGAGCCTCTGTTAATTACCAAGTCGGGCTTTTTGCTTTATTTATAAAAGCGATGAACTGAAATAAATGATTTCAATAATTATATAATGCTATTTTATTTATGTAATATAATTTGTTCTGTAGTATATAGTACGTAATTTAGTATAGAGTGTTTTAAGTAGAGTGTATGTGGGCTGCTGGCTGACAAATTAGGTTCCGTGGCTTATATTATTAATAAAAAGAAAGTTTTACTGTTAATTTATTGGATCTATTAAACATTATTTCGCCGTTGGACTATAAACGTTTACAAGCGCCATCTTTTGACGAGTAGCTGAACTAGCAATTTAGAAGTTCACGAAACTCGTCACTTGTTGAAATGTGGCGCTACTATAATTATGTTATGTTGGCATTTCGAATGTTGCCCTGATTGAACCGTTTACTAATGAACCAAACGTAATTAGATTAACTTTATGCAATTATTGGAACGGTACTGAGCAGTAGGATCTTTTATTCTGTTGTGCATTTATAAATACGCTATTCTAATTATATTAGATATATAAATTACTGTATAAATCCATACCTACGCGTTTTGGTTGCTGTGTTTACAAAGTAGTCTGCTATGCTAGCTGAATAACAAAGTAGATTATATTTATTGAAAAAATAATGAAAAATCAATAAATTAGCACCACAAGACATGGTGGCTCTTATCGAATAGAATAGAAGTCATTCCCACAAAGTTGTCCAAACAATAAACGCTAAAGTATTCATAAACGAAAGAATTTTAGGTGCACTTCATTTTCCTTCTATTGTAGCCGGACTTTATCGGTAGTGTGAGTGAGATGACTACTATTGTCTCTTTCCCTCTAGTGCATTTGCCGTATGCCCCTCCCGCACGCCGCCCGCATTTATTTTTCTTGCATCGGCGCGGCTACCCCGCCTCCATGGAGATTCTTCGTTTCCATTGTACACTAATAAAAATAATAATTTAATATTATTTTATTATAAATTATTTATTCCAAACAAGTGCACTATGTGAAAATTCCTAATTAAAACAAACAATATTCGAGTTACAATTTCAAAATCTTATTTCTAAAAATTAACAATCTTGGATTCTTGGTGTTAATCAATAATTGGAGTATTATAACATAGATATTGTTTGGCATGACTAAAGCACCATTTATTCTGTAAAGTGTCATATTCCACAGGAATAACGATTACAACTGAAGTTATTCTGACTACAGCTAAGCTATTCTACGCGTTTGATTTTGAGATCAAAAGATAATGCCAAACAGTACTATCAGATTAGCAACTCGTTTATAATAATGTTAAAAATACTACACAATAAAAGTCATAAGTCAATTTCTAATTATGGGTCAACCGGGGCAGTTGCGCCTAGGTAATTAATTACTACATCTTTTAAAATTACATTATACATAATTATAACGTTAACATGATTTAACTAGTTCATTAATAATAGTAAGTACCTAATTTTATTGGCATGAAATTTCGAATAAGTTCGTGACTACAATTTTTGAGTGCTAATGGACACGGATCCTCCGATTCTTGGTAATCGCACGAAGTCGTAAACAGCCCGGCTGCGGCCTCGCGCTTCGCCACGATACTAGCCTACCAATCAGTGCGCAGTTTTCACTCAGTATCACGTCATTTTCCACCAATGGGCGCTCTTGTGTATCACGCCACATCTAAAAATAGCCTATCTGAGTCATGGGCATAAAAGCAGTGGTTGTATCTTAACAATGTTTAGAAACAAGTGGAACGCCGAGCGGAACGGACGTGCAGTGTTGCATGAGAAAGTTTTGAAGTTCACGCAGTGAGTTTAGTGATACCGAAGCGTTCGGGACGGACACATGGTGCGTCACTCCGGCCACGGCATGGAGACCACTTTTTATGACGAGCACTACCCCATCAGCGGTCCAGTGGACAATTTGAAACGATCCCTCACCCTGGATTTGGACTTCGAGCGCGGCGGGAAACGAGCACGACTCGCCGCCCCGGTGCTCTCCTCACCTGATCTCCAGCTGCTCAAACTGGGTTCCCCTGAACTGGAAAAGCTTATCATTCAGAACGGCATGATCACCACGGCGACCCCAACTCCTAGCGCACCTGTGCTGTTCCCTGCGGCGGCGCCCACTGAGGAGCAAGAAATGTACGCGCTGCCTTTCGTACAGGCGCTCGACAAGCTGCACAACGGGCGCGGCGAGCCCGTCCCGCGGCGAGTGTATGCCGACCTCGACCGGCCGCTCGACCGCTTCCCCACGCCCGTCGTCAAAGACGAGCCGCAGACCGTGCCCAGCGCTGCCAGCTCGCCGCCGCTCTCTCCCATCGACATGGACACGCAAGAGCGCATCAAGCTCGAACGCAAGAGACAGAGGAACAGGGTGGCTGCCTCTAAATGTAGACGGCGTAAGCTGGAACGCATCTCCAAGTTGGAGGATAAGGTCAAGGTGCTAAAAGGCGAGAACGCGGAGTTGGCGCAGATGGTGGTAAAGCTGAAGGACCATGTACACCGGCTGAAGCAGCAGGTGTTGGAGCACGCTAACAGTGGCTGCCATATCGAGCAGTACTGATCGCGCCGCCGCCGCCGCGCCGCCACATTCCAAGCTAGTCGCGCCCGCCAGGACGCAGCATACAAAGCGATTTGTGATCTTAATTTTACTGTGTAACATATAGTTAGGATATAGTGTAAGGTGAGCTGTGGACTTATCGTTAAGTTTGAGAAATGCCAGTGATTGTGCAGAACCTCCGCTCGAATCCCATGTTCATGGATCTACTTAAGAGGGACGTGTTTAGTCACAACGCAAGCTTGAGCTTGTTTAAGTCGCAGAATTTCCTTAAATCAGTATTGCGTTCTCTTAGAATAGTGTAGAAACTAGAAAGGATAATCGTGCAACGTCGTTCGTGTGCAGACTGACCGAGGTTGTCGCTACGTTGCCAGTTTTACGGGCGAATTTCCTGTTTCAGCGATGATGTTGCCACGATGCAACTTTAAAATTGGACTTACCATGGTTCATTTTGGTGAAACCATTGTTTTTATATTCGACTGGAGCCATATGATAACAATTAGCATTGCGGGTTTTTATTTATGTCGAAAACAGAAAGAGAGGCGTCAGCGAACGAGCGTAATGCGAGCGAAAGGGACGCGAATAAGGTAGAGCTGGCAACGGGGCATCGAACCAAGTCACGAGCGGATGTTCTGCTAATTAAAATTCCGCCTGCGCCGCCCTCGCGGAATGGCGGCCATGTGTTGTCGGACGTTCCGATTCACGTTATGTTGCACAAGGTTAACTTTTTACGACAACGGCAATGGCGTTTATACGCCTTGTATGAAACGGAATTCGTTCGCTACGCTTTACAAATTCATGCTTGTGTGGAAGACTGACAGAATGCGAGTGCTTTGATTGAATGCAGTGTACGGTTGGCATGAGAGAGTGTTGCGCAAGTTTCCCCGATATTGAAAATGTTTTCTCAGAACTGACCCGGTGCTCTTTACTGTAGTGGACGCAACTCGAAGCCGTCCGATTGTAAGGTGGAGGAATGAAAGATTGTTTCGCAATATGTGAGTTGATGAAAGCGTGAGTGGGACGTACGTATTTATTAGTGAGAATGTTTACCTTTAGGATGAAGTAGCAATCTCGAGTGCCTACGCTTTGTAAACTAAAGCCTATGTTTTTATTGTTTTTGTTACCATTAATGCTACAAAAATTGTACCATTGTCTTCTGTAGGTTACTGTAAGTAATATAAAACCAATTAACAAGTTGAATTGTTATAGACTATATTCGGGGAGGGGTCACGCCCCGCAAATGGGGCCATGGCCACCGGCGGTAGCGTGATACCCGAGCCTATTTGTATTATTTTTATACAAAATTCGTCAGAATGTTAACAATAATTTGTAAGTTTATAAAAGAACAGTTATACTAAATAATATATTTCTATGAATTTAACAAAGAATATTGTTTTATACTGAATCATATTGTATGATAAAAATTGAATGAAGAGAAAATAAATTATGAAGATATTATACCATTTAATATTCACTTTTATTTCCCTGAGGAAACCTCTTGGCCTGCTTCCAAATTCAGTTAATACAAACAAAACCACGATATCTCGTTACTAAGGACGCAACACACACATGTATTGTGCACAAAATTCAGGGCGAATTGCAGAATTATCATGTTCTCCTACATAGTTAATAGCAATAGTAAGTAATCAGCCAATTTGTTTGCAATATGAAAATGTTTTCATTATTGCACAAAAATGAAGGTGGACGATAACAAAAGTAATAATTTGTGCAGTGTCTTGTTTCTGTTCTTTCTATTTTTGCTACAGCTACGACCAATTTAAAGGTCGGAAAGTAACAATCAAGACAACGTAACTAATACACCTAAAACTGTTATTCAAATAATCTATTATCATTTTTAACGATAGATGGACCTCCATAATGGCAGACACGGCCCCATTATAAAGATCCAAGACCAACGCCTACATTAGAAAATGGCCGATAAAACAAATGGGCGACATTGAACGAGTAATAAAAGACATAATTTGCAATACACTGTTGCATAAATGACGCACGTCGTTGCATTATGCAACGTAATTGCTAAAGTTATCATGAAATCGATGTCTACAGTATACCAATTGATCTTAACTGTTTAAAAGAGATGACATTAAGGAAGACGCATTTATTTGTTATTATTTATTTAGATTACACCAATGTTATTCGCCGTATAACACAAAATCCGGTTAGGTGCAGGCAGACGTTATATTTTTGACATTGAATCATTAATTAGCACAGATTCAAGGCCACAACCGTGGAGCACATTTCCTATACACTACACACTATTGTGTAATGAGGTATAATACTTAATAATATTCAATACTTCCTGGAAAACGCCTAACGTAGTTACATAATTAATTTTTACGACTATTGATTAGCGTAAGCAGATAGAGAAAAAGTTATGAATTCTCCAAGTACTTGTCTACTCAATTTCAATTCACGTACTGTTGATTGTTTATGGCACTATGGCAAGTGTGAGTTTTTTGGCGCGAAATCTCGCGAAAAAGAACAGGCTTGATTGAATGAAGATTCTATTGATCAATTTTACTGGAAAATCTCACAAACCAATGTTACGTAAAGTTATTTTATTCAGTTACCGCAAAATTGATGCTAAAGCTATACAAATTCGCTGGTCGAGGCTTACAAAATCGGTGCCAAGAAATTGTTCTAGCCGGATATCCGAACGATTGACGCAATAACCAATAGCTCGGACAAACATTTACACATCCTTGGCACCGTGTTGGGGCTACATTGTAGTGTAGACTTTAGTGTTTGTTCATCTGAGATAGCTTTTATCTCACAAGAATCGACATAGTACAGCAATGGCCGCTCAGGTGCCACCTGGACTACCTACCTGGTGGTATAGTTTTTTTGATATTCGAGTTTTATATTCTACTGTTTTTAAAAAATAATTTGTTTATTGTGCTCTTTCAAACCAAAACACATTTACAGCAATCTACCCGTGCCCAACAGTGGGTCGTATAAATGGGTCGATAGTGGTGATGACGTAGATATGTTTACGTGTAAAAATTAAGCATGATTTCGCCTATTTATAAATTCGATATTGTAAAGCCCATGTGTATAAAAAGTAATCCTTGAAGGTCAGGCCACAAAGTCCTAATAAGAGTTGGTATCGAATTTTTTAAACTGGTAGTTTTGTCGGCCGTTAATCATTCTAATTCATTCAACTTGAAGATTTAGGTCAGTCAGACAGGCAGCAGCATCATGCGCCCAGAGCCTTCGCATTGTTCTTGTCATAACATCGAATTATTTACAAACTATATCTTGTTTATTCTCTATACTGTATAGTTATACATACTGGCCCCACTGTTGTACAAACACGGCTATTTATATTTGACGATTTTTATACAAGCATTTAGTATTTGTTGATGAATTGCTGTTGAAATAGAATTTATTGCTTACCATAAGCTGTTGCCGTGAAGAAATAATCCTTCCAATATTGTTGACTCTTTCAAACATTCTACTCTGGATAGCGACTTTTTTTTAGTAGCAATAGAGGTCCTTGTGAAAGATTTCGTCCAGGGAAATACTGCCACCTTACCTATTTCTGTCGTCAAGCAGTAATGTAAGCATTATTGCGTTCCGGTTTTGAAGGGTAAGGTGTTGGTGAAATTACAGGTACATAGGCCTTTGCAATTTATGTCTTAGGGCGCAGTGGCAATGTCCCTCAGGTCTTTGCGATTTAAAGCTCTGAGTAGCACTGCAATTGTCATGGATAGGCGTGTCGCTTACCACCAGGCGCAGGACTTGTTCGTGCCGTCGCCGTTTCATGTCTTAATAAATCAAGAACTAATTAAAGGGGTAAAGTTATTAAAATGAAATTGGTTTCAAATCATTGTAGTGGCGATTGCATTGTCTTCCTCTTCACTAACTATCGTAGTTGCCTATCTCATATTTTCGTCATAATCTCTTTTAGCCTTCAAAAGCGAACGTCCTCGAGAGTTTTTTGTATAGTCTACTTTTTTTGAGGTATGAATATAAGTCATTGATATAATGAGTTTGACAGCTAAAGTTTAGAAAATAGGTATCATTTTCCTGTCACCATCTCACCATCATAATACTCAACTACACAAGGAACCAGCCCGTCTGCGCTGACGTGAAGTGAAGAACAATATTTTTCACAATTCGATCCCTCCTGCTTTCTACGTAAAGAATCGTAAGCCCAAACTCACAACTTTACAGGGGTTTTCAATGTATTGAAAGGACTAAAATGGCGAAAGCGCCATTTCGAAAACTTTTTCAGGAGAGCATGTTTTAGGTTTTAACGACTGTTTTAAAATATTTACGTCCTGTTTTAAAATTAAATTTCGGTTTTATTTAAGTTTAAGTATTAAAATTGAATTTATAACACCCCTAAAAAATCTTTCGAAATGGCGCTTTCGCCATTTCTACAAAACGTCGACGACATACTCATCATGTTTCTTTCTTTTTTTCACTGCTTGTATAACAAACTTAGATAAAAATAAAGTGATTTATGAAAAAATGCACCTATTTATGTGACTTACCGATTATGTGGGAAGAGTCAAAATGTTCAAAAGTCCTTGCACGAAAATTTTTAGATTTGAACTCAAATAAACCTCTTGAGTTTTGACGTCGACTTTATTACTCGTATGTACACATACTCTATTTTTTTTTGTTATTACTATATTATTGACATATCAGACAATAGATTTACCCTAAGAGTAGGAAATTGTCGCTGAAACCTAAGTTTCAAAACTCTAAATCTCTGTTATCCATTAGCCCAAAATAATGTTGCAAGCAAGCAGATTTTTTTTAAACTAAGTGTCAAACATCAATAGTATTAATGCAAGTTGCGTCCATACAATATTGGAAAAGTTCCAAAGAAAACATGGTGTGCGGTCGATTGCTCGCCGGGCTCGCGTGATGACTCATGTTGCATGAGAAAAAGAACTCTAATCCACGGCGACAACCTGCGAATGGAGAACTAATTGAAAAAGCGGATAGTACAAAAAATGTCCTTTGTTCGAAATGTCTTTGTTTCCGTGAGGTTGCTGATAACGGCAGACAAATTCCACTAAGTTTCCGATGGAAGAATTTGTCTTTTGTGAAACATCACTTTTGTGTCTTTGTTACACTTTGACGATAGAACAACTATTTTATTGAGATTTTTGAATGACAAAGTGCACATTTATCGCAATTCTCATGGTTCGACTAATATTGTAGATAGAATTACAATAATTGGAGAGGATGTGAGTTTTTTTCTTGTACCTAATAGAGCAATAAATGTTTTTGACGCAACTTCACTTAGGCCATTATCCCATGAGGGGTGCGATTTCTTGACATCCATCTCACCTGATGGAAAGTGATGACGAGGTTGACGATGGAGCATGCACACCTAAAATAATATCAATAAAAATAATAACCAATTCACTCTCGCCTTCAAAAGGCCCAAGTTAATCGTATTAGCGTTCAAGGAATAAAGTCTGCAGGCAAAGAATTTCACTCCATAGCCGTTCTTATAAATGGAAACGCAGAACGTGGATCATATTTCTGTAGTTTGGGAGTTCCCTGCTTCTAACTTTTTGTATGGTACATGGTCTTTGTGGTAGAAGCACGGGCTTACAATGGCATTATTTATTTTTTGCGACGCGCTTGATTTCATCTTAAAATGCCATGCTCGGATGATTAAGGTAAACACGTTAGGTATACTTACTCAAATGTAAACAATAAAGGTGCGCAGTTTGTGTACCTACTTATTATAAATGCACATTACATTACTGTGGCTTTGTAAAAATATATTTTAGAATTGCATTCTAAATAATGTTATTGATGTAGAATGTCTCGTCCTATTTTAATAGGTTTACGCGTGGACGTGTCTAACGTGTTGTCGTCCATATGAATACACGGAATTACACCCGCCGTGCTCCCGACCCGACACGCGCCTTACCCGTACCCGCTGCTGTCAGTGTCAAAGTACTAAGGTACTAAATGTGGTATGATCATAACTACGTGACCATGTCCCGCTTTGAATGGGACAGTCCCGCGTTTAAGCTTCGTATGGCGCGCTGCCGCCAAAACACTTA